TCCATTCCTCAGTACCATGCATGTGGCCTCTGTCCTGGGAGCATGTGAGAGAGTCTTGCCTCACTTATTGGTGCAGCTATGGTAGCTGGTACAAGAGTGCTCAGGAGTCCAAGGCCCTTGGGGCTCCTTATGTGCCTGAGTGGCAACTCTACCCAGAAGACTCTAGGCAGCCCGTGTCAGTCTGGAGGCCCTGGGAGTAGAGGGTCTGTGGAGATCTCTTGTGCCCAGGATTGCAAAGGTTCATGGCACAAGTGTGAGTCCCTGGTGGCTTTTGCTGACTTACCATTTCCCTGTGGTGGGGAGCTCTGTTGTCTTCCTGCCAGTCCTGGGTGAGCAGCTGTCCTGTCTTGCACATCTTTGCTCTCTGTGGGTCATGGTGCTCCCTTAATGAATTCCAGTGTGTCCTCCTGGATGATTCAGTGGAAGAGCTTGTGTTTACTGGCTACTATATATCTTCCCCTTGAGAGCAGCATGCACTGGCTGCTTCTAATCAGCCATCTTCATACCTCCCAGAATAAAAATTCTTAATAGCAAGAGCTAACCAAACACAAAATCAGTAGAAGAAATGATAAATATCAGAGCAGAAATAAATGAAATTGACATGAAGAAAAAAATATACAAAAGATCAATGAAACAAAAAGTTGGCTGTTTTAAAAGATGAAATTTACAAACCTTTAGGGAGACTAACAAAAGAGCGGGAACACCCAAATAAATAAAATCAGAGATGAAAAAGGAGACATTCAACCAATACTGCAGAAATTCAGAGGATCATTAGTGGCTACTGTGATCAACTATATGCCAATAAATTGGAAAATCTAGAAGAAATGGATAAATTCCTAGAAACACACAACCTACCAGAATTGAACTATGAAGAAATCCAAAATCTGAACAGACAAATAACAATGAGATGTAGTAAAAATCTCCCAGGAGATAAAAGCCTAGGACTTGATAGCTTCACAGCTGGATTTTACCAAACATTTAAAGAAGAAATAACAGTTCTACTGAAGCTATTCTGAAAAATACAGGAGAGGGGAATACTTTCAAACTCATTCTACAAGGCTAATATTACCCTTATATTAAAATCAGAGACACATCAAAAAAGAAAACTACAGAGCAATATCCCTGATAAATATTGATGCAAAAATTCTCAACTAGATACCAGCAAACCAAATTCCAAAACACATTGAAGAGATCATTTTATCATGACCACGTAGGATTTATCCCAGGGATGCAAGGATGGTTCAGCATATGTAAATCAGTCAGTGTGATACATCATACCAACAGAATGAAGGATCAAAATCATGTGATCATTTCAACTGATGCTGAAAAAGCATTTGATAAAATTTAACATCAGGTCATGATAAAAACCTTCAAAAACCTTGGTATCACAGGAAGCTAACCCTGTATTTTCCCCTGGAGAAATGGTTCAGTATTCTGTAAATCAGTATTTACGGCTACTTTATAGAATATAACTGCTGCAAATAACAAGAATCAGCTATATTTTTATTGCAGGAACAGTTGGAGGGGGTGAGTCTTATGGGTAAGTTCCCTCATGCTCCTCTTTTAGCCTTGCTGTTTGTAAATTTCCATGTGAGAGAATTCTGTTTTAGGACCTGTTATCTTTTGTAGAGAGCCAGTTTTTAATCTCTCATTGATTTTAAGTAAGTCATAATTTTGACTTGACAGGTTATTTCAAAGTTACAAATAGTTTTAAATCAAGGTCTTAACCTCTTGTGAAAACTCGATTATCTCTGCTCAATTTTAATGATGTTTGATAATGACAGTCTCGTGAGGCTGTAAGTTTTTTATAACATCCCAAATTCTGATACTTTTTAAATATCTTATTTGGTTTTCTCAGTTGTAGGCTGGCAAATTTTTTTCTGTAAAGGGCTATATGATAAATGTTTTAGGCTTTGCAGGTTGCATAAGATCTCTTGTCACATATTCTTCTTTGTTTTTACAAATCTTTAAATATGTCTTTTAAAGACATTTTTAGCTTAGAGTCCAGGCCAGAGTTAGCCCAGAGTTGTAGTTTGCCAATCTTTGTGCAAAATTTTTCAGTGTGCTGTACCATCAGCTTTCCCTCTTTAAGATGACATATCTGGTCATCTTAAACTGGTGAAGTGACATCTTAACCTGGTGAAGTGACATATACTTCACCTATAACCTAGACTTGAAGATGCCCTAATGTGCCAGTCTTCCTGATTTCTTTTGACAAAAATTGCAACCTTTTTTTGTTTGGATTTAATAAATCCGTTGGATAGATTTTATTGTTATCTCTCTTCTCACTAGAGCCTGATTAGCATCAAATACATGTGAAAAGAAAATGAGGAATAAACACAGCCATTTAATTTCTTTATTCAGCAAACAGAACGAATGGGAAACTAAACTTAATTGCCTATGTACTGAGTATAAGTCATTTTAATATAACTCCTTATTTAATCCATGTGATAATCATAAGCAGGATGGCATACCTATTTTTTCAGATATTTAACCTAATAATAATCAGCTAACCTAATTAAGACATCACTGTCCACTAGAAATTTCTGCAAGGATGGATTTTTTTTTTAAATCTGTGCTCTACATTATGGCTGTTGAGTACCTGAAATGGGACTAATGTGACTGAAGTTTTTATTTATTAATGATCTTAATTTCAATTTAAATAACCACATGCGGCTTATAGTTGCCATACTGCGCAGCATAACTTGAAGAGCTTAAGTAACTTGTTCATGTTTAGACAATAAGTTCTATGTAACTCCTAGCTTATATATATATATATATATACATATATACATACATTTTTTTGTTTAGACAGAGTTTCGCTCTTGTTGCCCAGGCTTGAATGCAATGCCGTGATCTCAGCTCACTGCAACCTCTGCCTCCTGGGTTCAAGCGATTCTCCTGCCTCAGCCTCACAAGTAGCTGGGACTACAGGCGTGCACCGCCACTCTCAGCTAATTTTGTATTTTTAGTAGAGACAGGATTTCACCATGTTGGTCAGGCTGGTCTTGAACTCCTGACATCAGTTGATCCACCCACTTCAGCCTCCCAAAGTGCTGGGAATACAGGCGTGAACCATTGTGTCCGGCCCTAAGCTCATTGTTTTTTCCGTTGTGCCATACTACCTCCTCAATAAAAGTCAAGGAATCTATGAAAACAGTAGGAAAGAATGGGAGGACCTTTATTACCTTACAGAGTAAAAAATGTGGAGAAATTATTTAGGCAGTTTTCAAGGTATATTAACTTTTAGGCTATGAACTCAAGTAGTAAATCCAAAATCTGGAATACTAGATCATAATTATCAAGCAATACCTATAATATTCTTTTATAGTCGACATATTATTATTGCATTATATGAAGTAATGTGAGTATACTCTGTGATCATTAGTGTGTTGAAAAAATTCAGATATTAGCATATTTTGAAAGTATTTGTCTTATATCCAGGGAGTAGTACCTTAGGAAGAAGTAAAGTCTAGTCAGGTATCAGAAAAAGCTTTTACATGTTATAAAATTGTACATCCTTCCTGTAATAACTTTAGCGCTTTTATTAACAAAATTCCTCTGGTTCATGGGGAGCATACTTGTTTGATATTTAAACAAATCTTTAAATATCAGTTATGCTTTAGGTAATTTTGCTTGTAGTTTTAATATACATTTAATTTATACCTGACATAGGTATGGTGTGGAAATCTTGTTATTTCATTAATGAATACCAACTGGATATAAGAAATAAAAAAAGTGATGTCTTTAAGGGAAGCATGCCTAGGTAAATCATTCTGTCATGCTATTGCCTGTACTAGAAGGAGGCATGGGAGAGGAGAATAAACAAAATTTATCTTCTTATTGTTGACTCTAATTTTACCCTGTATTTTTACAGCTCCAATCTAAATCAGAGTCCTGCCCAGTTTAAACAGGAAATTTCTTAACTGATTTCACCTGTGTAGCTTCCCTTGCTCTTCTCAGAAAATATGAAAAGTAGTATCAGAAATGAAGTATAAGTACTATCACTGTCATTGGAGAACATTTAGAATTTTTTAGCCAGTGATTCTTCCATGTCTTGCACAATTTTATTTGTGTGTAAAACAAGGAGACCTCTTCCCTCATAATGTCCTTTGTCAAATTCAAGAAACTTCTTTCCCATTTAAGAATCAGAATGTTAAAACATTTGTACCTTGGAAAGCTTTACACTGGCCTTGTTGAATGGATAATCTTTGGGAATTATTTTGATACCTGAATAACACTAGAGTACTTTATTTTTAGAGCCAGTAATTTTCCTGCATTCTTAATTCAAATCAAATTATAGCTAAAACAAAGATCACTTTTTGCTTTAAATTAAGCACTTAACAGGTAAAGCGGAATGCATTGGGAAAATCAGGAGCAAAGGATTTATAATAGAAGGAATTCATTTTTATGGATAATGTTTATATAAATTATATTTCAATATGCAGCCTGCAATACCCAGTACTCCAGACCACTCTTATCCTTTGCTTTCTTCAGAGCATTTGTCAACTTATAATGTACTACATCGTTTATTTATTGTGTTTATTGCCTCTCTCCTCTCTATTAGAATTTCATTTGTATGAGAGTGGGAATCTTTGTTTTGTTCACTGATGTATTCTAAGCACTGAAACCAATCTGGCACATAGTAGGTGTTCAATTAAAGTTTTTGGACTGAATGAATAGCAAGACCAATCCCACTCCATCCTTCAAATTTTAGTAATTATTATACTGCTATATTATTACGTAATAATAATCCAGATAAATATATTGCTATATTCCTTATGAAGTAGGTAATTAACAGACAGGTAAAAATAGTACTCTGCCATCCAGTATGAGAAGATAATATGTCTTAAAAATGTATGAAATAATTTGGAGTGTTTGAGTATTTAATATATTAAGGTGAAACCAATAGATTTCCTGAGATTCCTCCAGAATTTGTTAGGAAATAAAAGATGGAAAGCTTTTCAACTAAAATGGTGTTTCTGTTATGTCTTTCTCAGATGGGAAAACTGACAACCGTGCCTACAGGTCTGATTTATGCATCTGTAAGTGTACATGCAACCAAAGAAGAGGAATTCAAAAAGCAGCTAGTGAAACCAGAGCAGGTAATTTGCCTACAAAGGTTTATGAACTTTGTATAATATCAAGATGACACAAAAGCTATATTTTAAAATTATCTTTGCTCATCAAAACTTTCTTAGAAGTTTTTATTAGGTATATTTTATAAGTTGAGAGAAATTGTTATGAAGTATCTTAAAAGTCAGTATTTAACTCAACCATTTAAAATTCCAACTGGTGATTTTTCTTAATGAATAATCAATAAGTGGTAGAGGGTGTTAGACCTTGTAGGCTGTCTGATTTTTCTTTCTTGAAAAACTTATAAAGGTACATTAAGAATTAGGAACCTTCAGTTCAAGAAATTCATTAAGATCTCAGATTTGGAAGTGACCTTAGATATTTTGTAGATGAACCTTCTGTATGGCATTTTAATTCCCTCTATAGTAGGCACATGTAGTGGCCATATATCCTCTATGTGAATAAAACTCTAGGTAAAGGAGCCTAAGGAGCCCATTCCATTTTCTGAATTCTCTCATTTAACTTAAGGTCCTTTCTTATGTCAGACAGAAACTTGTCTCATAATAACTTCCACCTCTTGGTGCTGTATCTCTTGCATTGGTGCCATACAGAAAAGTCCTTCTCTGTTTCAAAAAACAATCCTGTAAATATCAGTTATACTTTAAGTAATTTGCTTCCAGGGTAAACATTTTAAAGCATTTAGTTGCTTCAACTATTTCTCATACATCACAGCTTTGAGTTCCTGACTGTCATGAACATCCTCTGCCAAGCATGTTCAAGATAGTTAGTGTTTTCTTCTGGTGTAAGTACTTTGCTTTTCTTTTTAGAAAACATGTTGTGTTTTGGTGCCATGACTTGGATGTACAAACCAAGATGTGTTTTGACTGCTACACGATAGAGTCAGACTCTGATTTCTTCTCTTCTAGATGTTATATTTCTATTAATGCTGTCTAAGATCACATTAGTTTTTATATTCGAGTGCTCAAAATCAACCATGCTCATAAGCAGCTTTTGACCATGGCATAGTAAGCATGTGGTTCTCTAAAATTCATTAAGCCTTTTTACATGGGCTACTGGTAAGCTATGCCTCATCCCAGTCTGTACAGGCATTTGAACTTTTTGGAATCTGTTGAAGGTATATTTATACCTGTTTAAATTTTATCTTGTTGATCTGGCTTATCATGCCAGCCTGTTGAGCTGTAATTGTGGTTACTAATTCTATTCAACATTGTGCTTTTTATCTCTTCCCACTTTAAGTCACCCCTAAGATTTATTTACACACTTAATAATATGTTTTTGAATCAGGCCTGAATTTGAATCCTGATTCCACGACGGACTAGTTAGATGACACTGGACAGAATTCTTAATGATGTCATAAGTATTCTGTTGTGTGAATGTATCACCATCAAATAAATGTAAAATTTTCATAAATTTTTGGAAATATAGACTATTTCCAGTTATTGCTATTCTAATCAGTACTTGTCGAACCACTTTGTATTGAATCTATATATACATTTATAACCATTTCCTTAGAATGAATTTTTGGAAGCAGAAGTGTAGGTCAAAAGGCACAAAAAATTGATAATATTACTAAACTCAACATGCACAAAGGTAATATTCATAAATTCAACCAAAAATATTTTCCAAGCTCCTCTTGCATATGTGTGAGGCACTGTTTTAATCATTAGGTAAGTTTATTTTCATTAACGGTCTAGGGTGGAGTCATTCCTCTCCACATCAACTGATTCTAAGTTTTTTTTTTTTTTTTCCTTTTATTAATCTTAAGAGGATGTTGGTTTTAAGTCTTCCTTGACACTCTCATATCTGGACAGCTCAAATCTGGGTAGGAAGATAAGTTCCTAATAGCTGAATTTAATTTTTGAAATTTTATAATTAAGTAGTGCTGTTTATTATGGAATACACAATATTCCTTGGTATTTATTGTAGTCCCCAAGTACATTTTATATATAATTTAATTGAATTACATATTAAACAACGTTAGTTGCCAACTATGTGCTAGGGACTATACAAAAAGTCAGGATCTAATCCTTGAGGAATGTAGAATGTCTGAAGGGATGAAAATGTGATTTATGTGCAACACTCCTAGCTACTTTTGTTGTGTAAAGTGAGCTGTACTTCTTGTTTACATCTATAATAAATCCTCTACTAAACCAGAATACTTTATGAATGAAGTGTTCTGGTTATTTGGTTATTTGAATCTTCTGTTAAATTTGTAACTTAACAGAAAATCCTGTTTTAATTCAACTCTTCTCACTGAACATCTTTTTAAATATTCTCAGTGTATTCCTGCCTTATATGCCGTCTAGTGAACGTAATTAAATCTCCTTGTAATAGAAAACTCTGTAGGACCATGGGACAATCATTTGTTTTAACCGTGAAATCTGCAGTTTTCAGATCAGTAAAATGACTGGCAATTGGACTACATGTATATAACCATCCCTAGACATCCCTGAACATTTCTTTTTCTTTTCTTTTCTTTTCTTTTTTTTTTTTTTTTTTTTTTTTTGAGACAGAGTCTACCTCTGTTGCCCAGGCTGGAATGCAGTGGCACGATCTCAGCTCACTGCAACCTCAGCCTCCCGGGGTTAAGCAATTCTCTGCCTCAGCCTCCCGAGTAGCTGAGATTACAGGTGTGTGCCACCATGCCTGGCTAATTTTTGTATTTTTAGTAGAGACAGGGTTTCACCCATCTTGGCCAGGCTGGTCTTGAGCTCCTGATCTCGTGATGATTCACCCACCCTGGGCCTCCCAAAGTGTTGGGATTACAGGCGTGAACCACGGACGGATTGCTTGAGCTCAGGAATTGGAGATCAGTCTAGGCAACAGGGTAAAACCTCATCTCTACAAAAAATACAAAAATTAGCCAAGTGCAGTGGAGGTGTACCTGTAGTCCCAGCTACTCAGGATGCTGAGATGGAAGGATTGCTTGAGCCCAGGAGGTTGAAACTGCAGTGAGCTGTGTTCATGCCACTGTGTTCTAGCCTCGATGACAAAGCAAGACCAAAAAATAAATAAATAAATAAATAACGTAATCGGCAGGTTTTGATGGGGACAGAGGAGAGAGAATAAAAACAATGAGTGTAAAAAAGTTTGAAATTGGGATGTGTAAAGAATAGAGATGATAGAAACATGATGGATAAACATATAAGTAAATAACGTTACCCATTCTGACACCAGTATATCTATATATATCTCCCCTTTCTATAGGAGAGAGGAAACTTCCCTACTTGCACTGTACCTGCTTTTCATATATAAAATGCATCTTTAATATAAAATATGCATCTCTCATCTTTCTAATTACACATAGTTGCCATTGTGGTGGATTTAAGTCTAAGCATTAGTACAGAAAGAGAAACACTCTTTAACCTAGTATGGGTAGTAAAGAGTCATTTAATGGCAAAACAATACGTTTCTGACTTAATACTGGAAAAACTTTACCAAACTGACATTGTCCTATGTTTTATATATAGACATTTTTTTTTTAATTACAAAAAAAACTGGCAAAAGATTGTATGCATTTACCTCGTACAGCATGATGCTTTGAAGTATATAGACATTGTGGAATGACTAAATCTCTCTAATTTACATATGTATTACCCTAGATAGTTAATCGTTTATGTGATGAGGACATATTACACCCACTGTTAGAATTTTCCAAGAATACAATACAGTATTAACTATAGTTTCATGTTTGTTGTTGGTAAAGGACCAAATCCAAAGTTATTAATCATCTAGTTCCTTTGCTGTTGATTTGTAAACTTCATTCTTCCAGGTTATATCTTCATCAAACACCAAATTTTATAGGAGGATTTATACCCTAAATATAAAAGCAAAAAAAAAATGTTTTTTTTTTAAAGGAAATAAGTCCTTACCTGCTTAAAGTTTTCATTGTTCTTTTGTTTATATTTGTTTTTATTAAATATTAATTAGAATCAAAAGGCTGTTCAAACTATGAAAGGTATGAATAATAATGATAATATGAACCTACCACCCAATTTAAAGGAAAACAAAATCCCCTGTGTTCCCATTTCATTCCATTCAGAGGTTACCATTACCCTAAGTTTTTACTATTATTCCCTTCCTTTTAAATTTTACCTTATATGTCTGTTTTGCTAAGCAGTATGTTTTTTGGGTTTTTTTTAAGTACCATTATATTCCTGAAATTCATCTAAGTTTTTCCATGTTGCTATAATTTTTATATTTACCCCCTGATTCCTAATATTTCTTTGTACGAATATACCCCAGTTTATCCATTTTACTGTGGATGGGCATTGAGTTAGTTGTAATTAAATTGTTCCTGTGAATATTATTATACATAACTCTGGGTGTGCAAAATAGTACTTTCTCTAAATATACATAGGAGTAGGACCACTGGGTTATACTATATTTGGCATTTTTTAATTTCTGGGTTTTAAATCATCTTTATAAACAGTTTACTACATCATTCCTGTATTAAAGATGATTTTTAAAAAGTATTTTATCAGCATTTCTAGTTGTTTTTAGGAAGGAGGCTGATGAGGATTCCTGTTCTGTCATACTGCTGATATGGACAGTCCAGCTAGTTTGTTTTTGACATGAACATTTTTTGCCTGTAGCTCCCCATATATACGGCACCGCCGCTCCAGTCTAAATATGTTGAAGAGCAGCCTGGTCATTTACAAATGGGCTTTGCTTCTGTCCGCACTGCAACTGGTCGTTATATTGGCTGGTGCAAGGTAAGTCATTTCTGATAGTGGTTTAATATCAGAGATTTCTGATTAATTGTTCCAGTTACCTATTGATGTGTAGCAAACTAATCCAAAAACTTACTGGCTTAAAACCACAACCATTATATTACAAATAGCTTATGATTTTGTAAGTCATGAATTGGTCAGAGTTCAGACAGATGATTCATCTGTTGGATGTTGTATTGACAGAGGTGGCCCAGTGGTGTTCATCTGGTGAATAAGCTGATCTAGACAGTCCAAGACAGCTTCATTTGCACCTCTGGCACCTTGTTAAGGATGGCTGGAAGGCTGGGTTCAGCTGGGATTATTGACTAGAATGCTTACACATGGCCTCTCAAGCATGGTGATCGCAAATAGGTCGTATACAACTTAACACGGGTAATTCAGGGCTCCTAAAGACAGTGTTACAAGTGGCCCTAGGCAGAATTTGCCAGGCTTTTTACCTATCCTCAGATATCCAAGAAAGCCACTTCTACAGCATTCTATTGTTAAGTCACTAAGGCCAGCTCAGTTTTAAAGGGAAGGGAATTAGATGCCAACTATCAATAGAAGTAGCAGCAAATAATTTGTCGCTATATTGAACCTACTATACCACTACTGCATAAAGTAGTTCATCAAGCATTTATGTCACCTAGCATGGACAGCATCACTCACTTTTTATGTGAAGTTCTTAGATTACTTCTGAATATTTTCTTCTTTGGCTAAGCAAAATGTTGTTTACTTGTTGGAGTTAGCTCATAAGACCATTTTAACTACTGTAAACTATTGGGCAAAGTAGAATACACCTTACTTTAATGCTTAGCCTTCAATTAGCAATATCCATCAGCAGAGTAGTAAGCTGATAAAACACTGATGTTTCATTAGCATCACATAAACATAATTCTGTTAGCATCAGTAACTCCAGCATCAGTATCTTAATGTTGGTACAAGTGTTTTCATCATTCTTACCTAGTAACCATGTGACTTTTCCCCAAATATAGCCTGATTGTGAACCATTGTTCTTTTTTTAGTTTCTATCAATTTTCTGTAAAAAGAAACCTAATGAGCTTATGAAAAATAATGTATGCTTGGGTGAAATACCAAATCAATGAACTCTGGTGATTCCAGATGATATTTTGAATATCTGATAAATACATGATGTTATTTTTGAAAACCAGTGGTTCTCGTATAATTCTAGTGGTACTAGTTGTACTACACACTATTCCTAGTTTGATCTAAGAGGGAAATACTTTAACCAATTATAGTCTGCGTCATGCCCCTATGACTATATTCCAATAGCTAGATGATTCAGACTTAAGCCTCCTGAGACCTAATTTTCCATAATGTTCTCAAATTTTTCTTCAGTGAAATAAAATGTTCCTGAGAGGTCTTTAAAAATTGCTCTTGTAACCATCATCCAATTTAAGACTGAAAAGAGTGTTTTATTCCATTAATATGATGAAACAAATAGATTGAAGAAAGGCAATTTCCAGTGCATTTCGTCCTAAATGTAAACAACTTTTCTAATTTTCCCCTAAAAATGTAATCTATTCTTTAAAAAATATGTCTGACTCAAATTTGTTCCACATTAAGCCTAGAATCACGTAGAGCAAATTTAATTCCTACTCCTAGCCTAGTGTTTTGAAATTTAGGTAACACTGACCCCATGTGTTAAAAATGAATTCCTTAGCAGAGATAAGGAAAATTTTTTTTTACAAGATGACTAATTTTCTTCCTTAATGGCTAAATGATTCCCAATCGACTGGTCAATAGGTATTTTAATTTTGAAGGTGAAATACTCTCAAGACAGTCTCTACAGAAATGTACTTCAACGGCAGTTAGCATTTATGCTGATTTGTGCAATTTTAAACCAAGATGAACCTCTCCTCTGCATCTCTCTGATAACCATTAAAATATCAAAGACAAAATTATAAAACCAAGCTATCTCTATAACAAAAACTTATTTCTTTCCTGTCTAATATAATAATCTCTATTTTCTCTGCTTTGAAAATCTCTTTTGTTCTTGTTTTTATCCCATGATTTCATAGCAGCTAGCTCAGAGAAGGAGACCATATATTTGGATTGTGTTTTTTGGGTTCTTCAACAGAGCAATACATGACCACGAGTAAATCATTTTGTGACTTCCTTTTTTTTTCTTATGTAAGTGATATAATACCTAGCACACAATAACTATATTTGACACTCTTTTGCACTGAAATAAATCGGTTGGAAACAGGTAAAATTAAAGATTTGCTTTAAAGCTTTAATTCCTCCAATAGATAAACATAGTTTTGATTTCTAGAGAATTTATATTCCTGTTTAAAAACAGGGTAAACACTGGTCTATGCAGGATGATATCTGTCCTGAGGTAATTTAGATTTTTTTTTCTCATTCTAATGTACACTAAGAAAAGGGAAGAAGATGAAGCCCTTTGCTTTAGGCATTTTGCCCTTTTTTTCCCTCCACAAATCATCATGTTGTTCCTATTGCATCTTTATTAATCAGATGTTGGTTCTAAACTGAAATATCCCTCCCTTCTTACTTTATTTAAATTCCATTCATTTTTCTAGGTCATTATAAAATAAGATGATAAATCTTTATTTTTTTCAGTATCTTTTCTGCTCTGATTATTTCATAGACATTACATTACCCATTTATATGAGAAAAATGGTATAAATATTATCCATGTTAAATAGAAGGAAAAGCAGAAAATGAAAACAAACTAAGTAAATGAGTATTTTCATAGTGAATACATAAAAAAGCTGGATTTAGATTCGGACATAATGGTAAGTCAGCCTTTTAATATAATCTCAGAGATGCAGGCAATTTTATCTCATTATCAACAGCTTCAAAAATGCAGATGTCTTCCTCCCCCCTCCTTTTTTTTTGCTTAGGGTGTTTATGTCTTTGTGAAAAATGGGATAATGGATACAGTACAATTTGGAAAAGGTAGGTGAGTGAATAATTAGAAATGTTTTATTGTGTTTTTAAATTGCATTGTTTAAATGCAAAAAAAATTAACTCGGTATGTTATCCATTGTCATGCTTTTATCAACTCAGAAGGTACTCTGTATAGAAATTTATTGATAATAATAGCAAAGCAATAATATCCACTATTCAGCAGTTACTATTGGCTAAGGTGTTGTACTAAGCATTTTACATAATTTTTGTCACAATTCTGTTAGTATTGGTATTATAATTATTCCCATTTTACAGATGAGGGCAACTGAGGTTTAGAAAGGTTAAATAGGTTATTGAGGTCACATAACTAGAAGTGGTAGTGCCAGTATACAAACTGAGGTCTGTTTTGACTACAAATTCTATATTATATATCATAAAGCATAAATTAAAAACATGTCTCCATTGTTGCTAATTAGTTTAAGTGCTATTTGCTGTTAAAATACATTGTATTTTGCTGTCAATTGTTAGGAAATGTTTTAGCAATCACTAACCCTGGAATATTTAAGCTAATGGCTAAAAACCAGTTGCATTTGACTCTTTAGCTTGTTAATGGTGTTTAGCAACAGATATAGCTTTCTAATATTCTTGGCTTATGCCAGTTGTCATAATAAATATGTATAGGAGATAGAAAGATGAGCTAAAATTTTGAATGTTTCCATGAAGCTGATGATCTGTATTTGAATGATCGTTATTTAATGTATTAGGAATTAATTCAAAATTATATTCCTCATCAATCTTGTGGAATAGGATTAAATATGTGACTGCCATTAAATAATTAACTATGATAGAAAAGTGTACGTTTGGAACCAGAAACAATTTAAATATATAGAAAGCCAAGAACTCTGGACTTTCACCCACTCTTCATCTACTTTGCTCACTGATGATTGACTTTAACCAACAGCAGTGGCTGTCCTGAGGTTATTAGGGAGTAGTGGCAAGCAAGGTCTGGTAGCTGTGTGTATCCTTAAATTATTATTCAAAGCTCCTTAATAAAGTATCTATTTCAGTTCTTACAGGAAGCCACCAGTGTTTGAACAGATAAAGGCAAAAGCATATTCGTTATAGAGATATAATACATACACAGTCGGGAATTTACCTTATGGTAACCCATATTATGATGTGTCCTCTAGCATTACATTTCTTTATAGTAATAATCACCAGTATCATTAAGAAAATAAATATTAAATCAACTATGGAAGGAAAATTTTATTTTGTAACAAGTAAATCTAGTTTTTTAGGTTGCTACTCATATCATCATTACGTATAGCTCTTTTGAAGAGTGTTTGAACCATCCATTATTATCTTAGCAAGTCTCTTTAACCTTCCTACATTATAACTGTATAGAATGTTCAGTAGAATTCAGTTATTTATGTTAACTTTTAACTGATTTCCTGAGATGCTTATGTCTATCTGAAGAATCCTCCTCAAGATTTTCTTCCGAAAATGGGAGTTATTACAGTTTCAGGATTGGTGGGCTTGGTTTCAGCGAGAAAAGGTAAGGTTTTTAAAAGTATATTCTCTCTTAGTGCCATGATATTTGTTTTTGAATTTTATGGTCAAGAGAAAACCTCATATGCTTTATTGAATATTATCTGGATAGGCTACTGTAAAAATTTTTATATTCTGTGTTCACAGCATGGTTACTTTTATAAGGACTTTTTGTTTTCAAAACTATAGCTATTCCAAAGGCTGTTCAGCATCATTAGTCATTAGGGAAATGCAGATGAAAATTAGAATGAGGTACCATGTCAGTCCCAACAACATTGGGCAGGATGAGACCAAGAGAAAGTCCAATTTTGCCTCACATATAAGTATCTCTGTCTCAACTCTTTAAAGTACCCACAGAATATGGGTGGTCATGAGTGGGAAAAGTAGTTTGAGTGATTAGTATATATGTTTGCATTAAGGTAAAACTCTCAAATTTTTTTGGTAGTTAGTGACTCTTAAGATCTTTTAAGAAAAAGTTACCTAGAAAACAAAATGACAAATTATAATTTTAATAGGAACAACTATATATTTTTTAAAAATTTATTTTAACATTATCATACAGTAGATTCATACAATTCTATCAGTTTTACTATATACATAGAGTCATGTAACCATCACCACAAACCAGGATACAGAACAGTTACATCATTCCCAAAAGTGCCTCATGCAATCTGTCTGTAGTCACACCTTCTCCCTGCTTCTAAACCCCAGAAATGCTGATCTGTTCTCTGTCACTGTAGTTCTGTCTTTTTGAGAATGCCATCTAAATGGAATGCGTAGACTGGTTTCTTTCACTCAGATTGTCAAAATTGTTGCACGTGTCAGTAGGTTGTTCCTTTTTGTTACTAAGTAGTATTCCCTCATATGGATGTGCCACATTTTACGTTATCACTTACCTGTTGGACATTTGGGTTGTTTCCCACTTTGGGTGGCTCAGAATAGAGCTACTATGAACATTTGTGTACAGGTTTTTCATTTCTCTAAGCCCTTACTAAGATAGTGTATTTCTATAGTCACTAGCCATTTTGATCACCTTCCATCCTACCTTTGTCCACACCCCAGTTGCCAGACATTGTCCCCAAACGGAATTTCTTATATTGGAAGGCACAGCTCTGAGCTAGTCAGGAATATGATTCTTTTTTCGTTCCATATGAATTTTAAAATAGTTTTTTCTGATTCTGTGAAGAATGTCAGTGGTAACTGAATGGGAATACCATTCGATCTGTAAATTACTTTGGGCAGTATGGCCATTTTCACAATATTGTTTCTTCCCATCCATGAGCATGGAAAGCTTTGCCACTTGTTTGTGTCCTCTGTGATTTCCTTGAGCAATGATTTGTGGTTCTCCCTAAAGAGGTCCTTCACTTCCCTTGTTAGCTGTATTCCTAGGTATTTTATTCTTTTGTGGCAATTGCGAATGGGAGTTCATTCATGATTTGACTCTTCTTGCCTGTTGTTGGTATATAGGAATGCCAGCACATTTTGCACATTTTTATATCCTGAAACGTAGCTGAAGTTGCTTATCAGCTTAAGATGCTTTTGGTCTGAGTTGAGAGGGCTTTCTAGATATAGGGATCATGTCATCTGCAAACAAAGACAATTTGACTTCCTCTCTTTCTGTTTCAATACCCGTTATTTTTTTTTTTCTCTTGCCTGATTGCCCTGGCCAGAACTTCTCCTACGATGTTGAATAAGAGTGATGAGAGAGGTCATCCTTGTCTTGTGCCAGTTTTCAAGGGGAATGTTTCCAGCCTTTGCCCATTCAGTATGATATTGGCTTTGGGTTTGTCATAAATGACTCTTATTATTTTAAGGCATGTTCCTTTAATAACTAGCTTATTGAAAGTTTTTAACATGAAGGGATGTTGAATTTTATCAAAAGCCTTTTCTGCATCTATTCAGTTAATTGTGTGGTTTTTGTCTTTAGTTCTTTTTGCATGATGAATTACATTTATTGATTTGGATATGTTGAACAAGACTTGCATCCCAGGGATGAAGCCAGCTTGATCATGGTGGATAAGCTTTTCGATATGCTTCTAGATTCAGTTTGCAAGTATTTTATTGAGGATTTTTGCATTGATGTTTATCAGGAATATTGGCCTGAAGTTTGCTTTTTTTGTTGTATCTCTGCCAGGTTTTGGTATCAGAATGATGCTGGCCTCATAGAATGAGTTAGGGAGAAGTCCCTTCTTTTCAGTTGTTTGGAATACTTTCAGAAGAAATGGTACCAGCTATTCTTTGTACCTCTGGTAGAATTCAGCTGTAAAGCCATCTGGTCCTGGGCTTTGCTTGGATGGTGGGCTATTTATTACTGCCTCAATTTCAGAACTTTTTACTGGCCTATTCAGGGATTCAACTTCTTCCTGGTTCAGTCTTGGGAGGGTGTATGTGTCCAGAAATTTATCCATTTCTTCTAGATATTATAGTATATTTGCACAGAGGTGTTTATAGTATTCTCTGTTGGTATTTTACATTTCTGTGGGATCAGTGGTGGTATCCTCCTTATCATTTCAGATTGTGTTTATTTGAATCTTCTTTTTTCTTTATTAATCTAGCTAGCAGTATATTTTATTGATTTTTTAAAAAGCTCCTGGATTTGTTGGGTTTTTTTTGAAGGGATTTTTGTGTCTCTGTCTCCTTCAGCCCTGAAGCTTGGTTATTTCTTGTCTTCTGCTAGCTCTGTGGTTTGTTTGCTGTTGGTTCTCTAGTTCTTTTAGTTGTGATGTTAGGATGTCGATTTGAGATCTTGCTAGATGCATTTAGTGCTATAAATTTCCTTCTTAACACTGCTTTAGCTGTGTCGCAGAGATTCTGGTACATTGTGTCTTTGCTCTCCTTAATTTCAAAAAACATCTTGATTTCTGCCTTAATTTCATTATTTACCCAGAAGTCATTCAAGAACAGCTTGTTCAATTTCCATGTAGTCATATGGTTTTGAGTGAGTTTCTCAATCTTGAGGTCTAATTTGATTGTGCTGTGGTCTAAGAGACTGTTATGATTTCAGTTGTTTGCCATTTGCTGAGGAGTGTTTTACTTCCAATTATGTGATCAATTTTAGAGTAAGTGCCACATGGCACTGAGAAGAATATATATTCTGTTTTTTGGGGGAGGGAAGGAGTTCTGTAGATATCTATCAGGTCCACTTGATCCAGAACTGAGTTCAAGTCCTGAATATCTTTGTTTATTTTCTGTCTCAATGATCTGTCTGATATTGACAGTGGGGTATTAAAGTCTCCCGCTATTGTTATATGGGGGTCTATGTCTCTTTGTCTTTAAGTACTTGTCCTTAAGTACTTGCTTTTTGAATCTGGGTGCTTTTGTATTGGGTGCATATAGATTTAGGATAATTAGTTCTTCTTGTTGAGTTGAGCCCTTTACCGTTATGTAATGTCCTTCTTTGTGTTTTTTGACATCTGTTGGTTTAAAGTCTATTTTGTCAGACACTAGGATTACAACCCGTTTTTTTCTGCTTTCCATTTGCTTGGTAAATTTTCCTCCATCCCTTTATTTTGAGCCTATGTGTGCCTTTGCACTTGAGACCTGTCTCTTGAATACAGCACACTGGTGGCTCTTGTCTATTTGACCAGCTAGCAATTCTATGTCTTTTAATTGGGCATTTAGCCCATTTTTATTTAAGATTAATTTTGTTATGTGTGAATTTGATCCTGTCATAATGATGCTGGCTAGTTAATTTTGCAGACTTGTTAATGTAGTTGCTTCATAGTGTCATTGGTCTGTGTACTTTAGTGTGTTTTTGTAGTGGCTGATAATGATTTCTCTTTTCCATGTTTAGTGATCCCTTCAGGAGCTCTTGCAACAAAGGCATGGTGGTCATGAAATGCCTCATCATTTGCTTGTCAGGATGCATTTTATTTAAAAATAGAGGTGAATAGCAGATATCAGAGTAATTTGTTCTTGCAGGCTTCCTTAATAATAGTTAAACCAGGCAGAACTCTTGTTTTTACCTTCCCTAAACTGCAAATTTGCCTGCAAACATTCATTTTAGTTTTTATAATATACCAGATAGGCTGTTCCCTTGTTACATTAGGGATTGTATAAGCTGTTTCCGATAATAAAAGTACTTATCCCAATTTAAAAACCCATCTTCCAATTGCCCAGATCATAATTACAGTCTAAGATACTCAAATAGGCATTTGGCATACATATTATTTTGAACCAACAGTCTAGTTGTATGTATGGAACTAAGCTATGGCTTAGAGCAGTGGATTTCAAACTATTCTGTAGAACCCTCAGTGTCATGGATGTGTTTAGTGGTGGTATCGGGATAAAGGAAAAACCACACATCCAGGGTTTGATACAGAGCTTCCCACCCCCAAGTTACTCAGAGCAGCATCAAGTTTATAGGTTTTATATATCGAAGTTCCCAGGGAGATTCTATTTGAAAGATATTTTAAAGGATTTTGGTATCAAAAAAGATATGAAAATAACTCGTGAATGAGGTATAGTTAAGGCACTTTTGGATGTGCATTACTTACGTCAAGTTACTTGCATAAGTAATTCAGTATTCTAAATCAGTGACATGAAGGAGTTATGTACCTGTTAAAGTCCTTAGGTGATTATTTAGTTGAGTCATTCACCTTCCTAAATACTCAATCAAGAAAGGACATTAAGAGAGAGTCCATTTCACTTTAACATGGTGTCATAAACACAGTAGTTAATTATCTATATTATCATGCTTTATTAGATACTTGCAAAATTGTGGTTATAACTTTGGGTTTCATAGGACATGAAAAATACCTAGCTTTCAAGCAGAAGAAAATCATCAATTCCTTTTGTGTAGGAAATTGTCAGTATTTAGATTGAGAATACTTTTGTTAAATTGGACATGACAGCTAAGGAGTAATTGAGTTGAGATCCTTAAGGGTGTTTTTAGCTTCCATCTTGATTGGTATAATTACCTAAAAAGTAATTTAACAGAGGGTGATGGCTTACCAGGGGAGCAAAGAAAGCATTACAGTATAAGAACATCAAGTCTCTGGTGGCATTTATTTGGAGTTTAATAATTTATTTGCATTTTATAGGTTCTAAGTTTAAGAAAATTACTTATCCTCTGGGACTGGCCACTTTAGGAGCAACTGTTTGCTACCCAGTTCAGTCGGTAATAATTGCTAAGGTGAGTTCTTTTTAAATAATTGTCTGTCAGTGTGACAATATTTAAATGTTACACAGCACCTGCAACATTTAATTTTAAGAGGCATAGTTGATTCTTATGTTGGCCAAATCACATTAGCATCTCAGCATTGTAAATGCCATTCTTAATAGGATGAATTTGTTTAAATATAATTCAACAATGTAAAGACAAATTTGAGGATTATGATCAGAGACAGTGAATTAGAATTTATGAGGAGAAATACTGCTCCATTGTTGAGGTATATAAACTTGAATTTTTATTTAAAGGAAGATTAAAATACTAGCAGCTGTTTGGTTCAGCAGATTAACCTGATGTAAGAAACAACCAGTTGATAGATTGGCTTCTGTGGTTTCTGAAGGTAACACACACACACACACACACACACACACACACACACACAAACTCAATATATCAAAACTACTTAGAATTAAGAAATATCTGTATAAATGCTTATTATAGTTGTTTTGTCATTTTCTTGTGAGCTTAATTACAAATCCAAATTCTCTTAATGATTTGAACAGTTTTTGTCAGTATTTTATTATTAACACATGTTCAGATTGAGAAGGAAACTTTGGGTTATGCATTTTTTTCCCCTCATTTCCTTCTCTTAATTACCAACAGTTAACATTTCCCCCACACACTTGAAACAATGTGTATGTTACCAGAAGGACTTTCTGTACTTGTATTCTCATTAGTTCATCTCATTAATTATTGATGTAGAGAAAGTTGCCTATCAATATTTTGAGAATGTCAAGGATATGGTGTACTATGTAGTTTGTAATGTGGTCAAACTATAAAAGCTCATAACAAAGGAAAAGAGCATTATTCATTAAGTCTAGTTATATCCGAAATAATTGATAACATTGTAAACTTATTTTTAAAATTATTTCCTAATAATTTACATAGAAATTAACCACTTAAATTAATAAGATGCTAGTATTGAGAGAAAATGTTAAGCTCATTTAATTCAACCTTGGTCTTTTCTGGTTTATCTATGGGGAAACAGTGGCCCAGAGAAGTTTCACAATGACTGACTTCCCCAGCATCATACTGAGCTTCAGATTTTTTGCTTCCATGTTCATTACTCTTCCCAGTGGATGATGCTTCCACTGATTCTTCTTTTTTGTAAGAGTAATGACATCATGGTTGTTTTTACAAATTTTACCTGTTTATCTTTAGATAATTTAAATATTTCAGAAAAGTTTAGGAAAAAAACAACCTGCCAACCAAAATGCATCCATCCATATAAATATCCACATCAACATTGGGATGGAATGTTCTTCTAGACAGCTTACCATGCATACACAGAGATGGAAAAACAGATGTTTGAATAGGCAGATAAGAATGAGATCATAGTATATGTCTTATTTTTATTTTTTAAAATAAAATATGAATTTTACTTTTACAAAAGACAAAACAAAAGAAATGCTGAACTTCAAATAAAATTTTTCTAGTATAAGAGATTTTAATATCCTTCGCCCACTTTTGAATGGGCTTGCGAAAATGCAATAAAAATTAAAAAAAAGAGATTAATTTTTAAACGTTCTTCTAGAGTAAATAATAATTGTTACTTAAGTTCCTAGAGTTGAAATCCTTGCTTTTCTTTTGACTATATCACATGTAATATCTGACAAATTCAAATATATATATATTTTTTCAGATGGAGTCTTGCTCTGTTGCCTAGGCTAGAGTGCAGTGGCACGATCTTGGATCACTGCAACCTGTGCCTCCCGGGTTCAAGTGATTCTCCTGCCTCAGCCTCCCAAGTAGCTGGGACTACAGGTGTGCACCACCATGCCTGGCTCATTTTTGTATTTTTAGTAGAGACGTGGTTTCACCATATTGGTCTGGCTTGTCTTGAACTGCTGACCTCATGATCTGACCGCCTCAGCCTCCCAAAGTGCTGGGATAACTGGCGTGAGCTACCGCGACCGGCCTGTAATGTTTTTCTTAACCTGAGATCCATGATGGACTTTAGGAAATCTATGCACACCCTCCTAGCCAAAACTTTATGAAAAGTCATGTGTGTACAAGAAAAACCTTATTTGTCATAATCAGGACCAATAGTTAACAATTTAAAATGTTAAAACAGTGAGTTGTAAAAAAAATATAAATATATATACCCTCAGTTTTACTTCAAATTAAAACATAAATGTCCTTCTTCAGCCTGGCCAATATTGTGAAACCCTATCTCTAGTGAAAATACAAAAATTAGCCAGGCCTGGTGGTGGGTGCCTGTAATTCCAGCTACTCATGGAGGCGGAGGTTGCAGTAAGCTGAGATCTCACCACTGCACTCCAGCCTGGGCGACAGAGTGAGACTCCGTCTCAAAAAAACTATTTTTTTTCTTTTTTCTCTATTTTGAAGTAGGACTTTTCTTTGAGTATTGGTTTCCTGGTTAAAGATCCATAACATCATTCTAACCATAAGCCATATTTGTAATATGTCTTCTACAATTTCCAGATTAGGTTTCTTTAAAATAGAATGAACAGTTAAAAACATTAAAAAAAATAATGAGTGCTGAATCTTTTAGATGGATTTAGTTTATATTTCTCCCATCTGTTGTAATTGTCTTACTCATGTCTAATTTTCATAGCAGTTATTTTTTAGCCATTCATATTTCAGTCTTTATGAAGCATTTAACTTAATTTTCCTAGAAACAGTAATTCTTTTTACACTCATATTTTATCATATTATGTTACATTTAGATTGTTTAATTACAAGTAAAACTGATGTAGCAACTTGAGGAAAAAAGCAACTTATTTTTGACAAGCATACTAATCAAATTGTGAAAGATAATACCTTGGCATATTGGAGAGCACCTGATAGGAATGAATATTCAGCATTCTACAAACATCATTTATAATAAATTTTTAAAAAGTTTTATTAGTCAAGTCTCTTAAAAGGATGTCAGGTGAGAGCTTTTATACGGTGTTTCTATTTTCCTGAAGGAAAGGACCTATAGCTTTCAGGAGCTTCTCCAAGGCATCTATGATATTAAAAAGTTTAAGAAATGTTAGTCCAGAAGGTCTTTGAAAAATGCAAGTCTCACTCCAGTTATTCATCATTTTGAAAATATACTTCAAGATGGAATTACTGTTTGCTTTTTATAATTTTCCCCACAATATTTTTCTTAACATGTAAAGAGTAACAAGTAGTCAAAAAAAAAGTAGTCTGTCTTTGAAAACTATAAAATAGGAATAAACTAACCAAATAATGTTTTAAGGCCTATATAAAAGAAAAAAAAAAAACTATCAAACTTTACAGAAGGGCATTTTTTAATTTTCACAATATTTAATTGATGAATAAAGATCGAATATATTCAAGGTGTACAACATGATGACTTGATGTACATATACATTATATAATGATTATTACAATCAGGTTAACACATCCTTCACCACCCTTGCAGCACATAATATACCCAGAACTTGTTCATCTTATGACTGAAAGTTTGTACCCTTTGACCTCATTTACCTCACCCCTATCCCCTGGCAACCTCCATTCTACTTTCTGCTTGTATTCTGGGTATATATATATATAAACAATGCAATCAGTATCTTGAAGAGATATATGTACTTCCATGCTCATTGCAGCATTATTTGCAATAGTCAAGATTAGAAACAACCTGAGTGTCTCTCCGTGGATTAATGGATAAAGAAAATGCAGTACACATATGTAATAGAGTGGTATTTAGCCATTAGAAAAGGAAACGCTGCCATTTGCAACAGAATGGATGAACCCAGAGGACATTATACTCAAACAAATAAAACAGACACAGAGACAAATACTGTTTGATCTCACTTATATGTGAAGGATGTTTAACAAAAAATCTTGAATGTCTTTGGTGATATATCCTGTTTCTAGATGAAAAGACTAAATGTTCAAATACTGCAACTGTTTCAAAATCTAGAAATTTAATTCAGTTCTTACAAAGGTCCTGTATTTGAATGGAGTATGACATTCATGCACATAGTATTTATTGTCTCTCTACTGTGTATTGGTTACTACAGCATAGACAGTAAAATAGATCAAGAGGACAAAAAAGAATATCCAACACATTATATTGAGTATATCTTTGTACACAACTGGGTAGGGGATTGACATGTGGTACAGGTGGCATTTCAGGTCAGTGTGTAATGGAAAGGATGGATTTTTTTTCAGGAAATGTGTTGGAATAATTGGCTGTTTGGAACAATACTCAGATCTTTACCAACTATCATGGGAAAACTAATTCTAGGTGGAATAAAGATCTAACCATAAACTAGAATACTATAAAAAGTATGAGAAGAAAAAGAGGAATACCTGTTTAATTTTGAGATAAGAAAGGCTTTCTTAAGCAAAATATAATACACAAGCCATCAAAGAAAAAGTTGACATATCTGACTACATCAAAATTAATACATTTCTGTAGATTACAAAATACCATACACAAAGTTAGTGGATACGTGAAAAACTGGGAAAACTATTTGTTACATATATGACTAAGTATGAATATCCTTCATGTATTAAGAACTCCTATAAATCAATGAGCAAAAGATGAATGTGCCTTCTGGGAAAATGAAAAAAATACATGAATAAGCAATCTATATAATAAGAAACATAAATGGCCTAATATATATAAGATACTTGATTTTATCAACAATCAAATAAATGCAGATTTGGAAAACCATTTAGATATTGGTTTTTAGCCTTTCAATTTGACAAAGATTTAGAAGACTTATAATATCACTGGTGGTAAACAGGGTAGGAAACAGACTTATACTCTTGATGGGACTGTAAATTGCCGCAGTATGTTGCTGACTTTCCGGAGAGCAGCATGGTAATACTGTCAAAAATTAAAATGTGTATACTCTTCAGTGCAGAAATTTCAACTCTAGGAATGTATCCTGAGGAAACACCGTAAGGGTTATGGCCCCAATTGTATGTGTAAGGATGCTAATTTCATCATTGCTTATACTTGTCATCCCTCTACCCCCAAAAAGGAAAACAGCTCATATGCTCACCAACAGTGGATTTGGTAAATCATTGTGCCTCAATGATTTGTTTAACAAATTGTGGCACATCCATTATAGAATACTAAACCAAGCAGCAATTTTAAAAAGTAGATCTAAGAATATATAAAATGATGTAGAACCATGCCTGTGAAATATTGTCAAGCTTTTAAAAAATCCTATCTCAGAATAATATGTTTCCTGTGATCTCATTTGTATTTAAAAAGGAAAACAAACTAAATACATATGTAATTTATTTTGAAAATTTAATTGAAAACATAATTGAGATTGTATTATATAATCTCTTCTGCAACTTTTTCAAATTAGTGGTTCATCATGAACTTCCATTCAAGCCAGTACATACAGAACTACCTCATCTTTTTTGAAAGATCTATAAATGTTAACATTATATTTGTTTTAAAATTTGTTTGTGTATATTTAATGTATATATGAGTAAAAAGTCAGGAAGAATATGTATAACTGTTAACAAAGGTTATATTTGGGGAGGAAGAGGAATTTCTTTGTACTACTGTATTACTTAACTTTTCAAGTGTAGGTATATACTTAGTAAAAACAATAAAAATATTTCTATTTGAGGATGGAAACCTAATTTTTAAAACAAATATGTTTGTAGAAATTGTAATCTGGGAAAGCCCCTCAAAACATCTTTAAAACTTGAAAAATCAATGGCTGTTGAAATTACTTTAATCCGAATGAACAAAAGGATTGGAGAAGAATAGGAAAAAAGAAGAAATCAGAAGCAGATTTTCAAAGAGAAAGAGAGACGAATGAAAATGACAGTAACTTGAGGAATTCAGTGAGCATCCCAGCCTCTGCTTGAGTATATTTACCGATCATTGTTTATTTTTACCTTTCTACCAAAAAGAAGAATATTCTTTGGAAGAATTAGCTGATGCTTTTTATTTCTTTAGGAATGGAGAAAGCCCCATAAAATTTTAAGCCAAAGCATTAACTTTGTAGCGTGTTAAAAATCTAATTTTCTCAGTCAGCAGTTTATTCCCAAAACTCCTGTTAATAGACACAGTTTTCACTTATATCACCATGTTATATACCTTAAATAGATACAGTTTTTTCATGTCAACCTGATCTCAATAAAGCTGAAAAAATTTTTAAAAATAATGTAGGCATAGTTTTAGATTTATATGTTACGTTGTGAATGCAGATTATACATTTCTGATAGCCCTTTGTATGACACCACAGTTTTTTCACATAAGATTTTAGAAATGGTGCTTTGTGTTATATGATTTAGAGATTTATATCTTTATTGATTCCTACCTGAGTGTTCATATAAAATACCTGACAAATCTAAAATGTATTTTTATTTTAACTTTTAAAAATATATGTTATTTGACTTCCTTTTTGTTTTATTTAGGTAACAGGGAAAAAGATATATGCTACAAGCCAGCAAATTTTTGAAACAGTTAAATCACTGTGGACGAAAAGCAACAAAAAAGAGTCACTTCCTCAACCTAAGGAAAAAACTAAGGTAAAGTTTAAATGGAACAAGACGGTCCACATTGAGTTGTGTTTGGGTGGGTGTTGGCTTGTAATGAGGGTACTGGACAGAGGTCGAGGATAAAATGAGAAAGTAGATGAAGGAATTTGGTATAATTTTTTAAAGATGTTTTATTCGCTTAGTAAAATGATTTACTTATCAAGGAAAAATCTTTTTGGTAAACAGCTAGGATCCTCTGCCGAAATACAAGTATCTGGAAAAACAACTCACGTCTTGAAACAACACTCAGTGCCTTTGCCAACAGAACTCAGCTCTGAAGCAAAGACCAAATCAGTGTCCACCTCAGGTTTGTTGGGAATAATTGTTTCGTTTTCATTCTTTTCTTAAATAATTTGATAGCATTATCATTATTGGTTTGAACTTACAGATGCGTTTTTTCCGTAAATATTTTGTCTTTCTCGTATCTGTGGTTTGCATTTCTTTTTAGGTTATGAGGCACTTAGGTGCTTGGGATTGTTTTAAATTACCACATAGTTCATAATATAGATCTTTGTATGTGAGGATACAGAGTAGCACTGAGAGGTTGATTGGGTGAAACATTTCATATAACGTTATAAATATGAGCTATTTTATCAGGTGGGGGAAAATGGGCCTTTCTAGATTCTAGAAATTTAAAGGTACGAGTCACACCTACATAAAGAAATGTAAGCTTCCATTTTTTGTGCTATTTACCTGTCAGTCTCCCTGTCAATCTTAAGACTTGTAATGTTGCTAGTATTCCATACTGGCAATAAATACTTTGTGGAACCAAACAGTGACAATTACGCTTTCTAAAAAAATACTACCATGATTTTACTGTGATCAAAAAGAAGGTGACAGAGTGTTTGATACCATTTTGACAATGTATTCATATTGATTTGCATAGTTTTATCTACATGTACAATGTGAATGGTAAAACCCATTAAGTTGTCTTACTGCAAAGGAAAGGTGACTAACTCAGAGGTTGGGGAATAATAATAATATCCACCTTTTATCAAGCACATACTGTAATGCAGGGAGCTAGAAATGTGTTATTCAGCACTTACCCACAAAGTAAAACAAAAACCTCTGCTGGATCGGTAATTATTCCCCTTTTATGATGAAGAGACTGAGAATCTGGGAGCAAAAATAGTTGCCCCAAATCATAGAGCTTGTGAGCGGCACAGTTATGTTTATGGCCTAGATCTTGACATCAAAGTCCAAGCTCTTTCCATTGTGTATAGATTATCTAATTTAAAACCGGAATTTAGTCTCTAATTTCAGTCTCCTCCTCTCTCACTTAATCTTTATATAAACTCTCATTGAATAACAAACCTGATTTGAGTTTTACTCTTTTCCTCTGTCCTCTCTCCTTTTTAATCAAGACAAGTTATACAGTTTTTAGAGTCTCTGAATAATCTACAGGTGACCATATTCTCACAAGAATATAATATGGTCATTTTTCCAAATGCTTGTTAATTACAGAGTATCTTTGTGAAGATGAAGCATACTGCAGCTTAACAGTGGGACCAAAACCTTCCCGAGCTAATGTCTTTTCTTCACACATTTGGATGATGGAATCCTTTATTGCCTATCTTGGGTGATGTGGTATATGAAAAGCATTCTAAGGAGATAATGCAGAGGGAGAAAGAGATACCAGTGCCACTCATTCTTGTCATCTATGTCTTGGTCAGTTTGAGCTACTGTAAAAACACCATCGACTGGGTGGCTTGTAAACCACAGAGAGGTGATTAGAATTAGTTGAGGTGTTGAGGGTGGGGCCTTCATGAATGGGATTAGTAGTGCTCCTATGAATCTTGAGAGAGCTTACTTTCCTCTACTCTCTGCCATGTGACAATACATTGAGAACTAGGCTGTCTACAAGCCAGAAGAGGGCCTTCACCAGAACCTGACCACGTTGGCACCCTGATCTCAGAATTTCAGTCTTTAGAACCATGAGAAATAAATTTCTGTTGGATCCAACATTTACGAGCTCTGTTACCTGGTACAAGTTATCAAACACCTCGAGCCTCAGTCTCCTCATCCAACAAAAAGGGAACCATAATAGTTCTTGCATGGTTGTAAAGATTAAATGAGATATGGCATGTAAAGCACTAACTACAATGCCAGAGATAAACTAAGGGGTATCAGTGGATATTAAAATATGTCATTATTATCATTTGCCTAGAGTAATTAGCCATTTTGCTGAGAAACAGATTTTCATTGAGCACACTTTAGGAGTAAGTCACTTACCTAGTGAGCCCAGCCATGGCTACCACATTTCACCATATAGAATAGATCGGCATACTGTCCAACTGTATGTTGTGGCTCTGAATGTGAGTTGTTTTCTACAATCTCATGTACATTAATGGAGAAAATTATTATTATGGGAATTACAAATTTAGAAATTTGGTGTCATAGATCTCTTCAAGCATCTGATGAAAGCAGAATGAAATCTCTCATAGTCTTACAAGATTAATGTCCCTCTAAAGCAGAGGTTGGTAAACTATGGCTGGTATGCCACCTCTGACTCACCATTTTCATATATTCTGCAAGCTAACAGTGATGGTTGAAAAAATCAAAAATAATATTTTGTAACAAGTAAAAATTACATGAAATTCAGATCTCAATGTCTATAAATAACATTTTATTAGAACATACCCACACACATTCATCTATATATTGTCTATGGCTGCTTTTACACTACAGTGGCAGAGCCGAGCAGTTGTGACAGAGACCATATGGTTCACAAAGTCAAAAATATTTGCTACTGACCTTTTGCAGAATAGTTTGCCAATTCTTCGAGAAAGAAGGGATGTGCCACGTACGCGTGACTCATGTCCCCCTTATGGTAGTTGACAGATTTTTTGTGGATTCGGAGACTAAATAGCCAAACTCAAAACGTCTTAACGGCAAAACCTAATTTCTTACAATTTTGGGGGGCTGAGGAGACAGAAACTAGTCAGGTGTCAGTCAGAAGCTTGGGAGTGCCATACCTGTACTGGGAGGAACCAGAAGTTAACTGACTCTTACTAAAACTACAACGCACCCCAGACCCAGCGCAATGCCTGACTAGATTGAGATGATAAGCGTTTCGCCCTTTCTAAAGAGCTTCCTCCTTTCTGGAGCTTCTACCTTTCTTTCATACACAGTGTCCACCATACAAACAAACAAAATAGTAGTTACGCAAAAATGCAGGAAGATGTGATTGATAGTCAGAAGAAAAAACAAATAAATACAACAGCAACAGCAGACCCACAGATGACTTAATATTGACGTTAACTGAAAAGGACTTTAACAATATTAATATTGTTAATATTTAAGTTAACTGAAAGGACTTTACAATAATTATAATTAATATGTTAAATAGGAAAAAATGATGGACAAAATAGATGAAAATATGGAGAATGTCACAGGGACTTAGAATCTGTTAACAGAAAAAACCCTAGTGGCTGTTCTAGAAGTGAAAAATACAGTACCCGAAATTAAGAACTCATTGGGTGGGTTTCACAGCAGACTATATACCAGAAAGCACAGACTTAATGAACTGAAAGACAAGTCAATAAAAACCAGCCAGACTGAAGCTCAGAGAGAAAAAAGGAATGGAAAAGGTTGACAAAGTACTTTATAGTGACGAGTGTCTTTAAGTGTTTGAGTTGCTGAGAAGATGAATGCTGAATGTCATCCTGATTTTATACACGAGAAATCAAAATAGAATTTGTAACAATCTTACTTCATTCAGGAATTTATTAGTTTTCTGTCCCATTTTTTTGTACCTAACTTGCTTAAAATATCAATGAGATAACATGTGAACTAAATTATTAGTTATGTAATACTATCAGATATCACATAAGGGCTATTTGAGACTATAATTCATTGCTGTCTCATAAGTTTAAACATATTTCTTTCCTATTTGTTATAACATCAGCTTTTTGAAAAGTCTGCTAAAAACTTTAAGCAGAAAACATTCTTATTAGAAAGCAAACATATAAAAGTGCAAAGGAATGCATCATGATGATTAGGGCATTCAGATTCAAGACGAGTTTTATGACAGTTCATTCTTTGAGAGGGTAAGAGAGCCCTTAATCCACTCAAGAGATTGAAGAAATTTCTAAGAAAGATATAATTCTTAATTGCTTATTAAGGGCATGAGATGAAGCTTTTTAAAAAGATAGAAATCAAATGACAGACTAAGTGGTTCTAAACCAGAGAGATCCGTATCACAATTACTTGAGGGTTTTTTTTTTCTCCAAAATTCATAGGTTCAGACTCTACTCAAGAATTATAAATCTCAATTTCCAGAGGTGAGGCCTCTAAGCAGGTAGATTTTAGGAAGAGCTCCATAGGGGATTCTGTTAACATATCACTCTAGCTAATAATCTCTGTTTTAAGTTGTTAGTAAATTAAAATCTTGAAGCCTTTTAAGAAATTTTGAGGGGTGATGTAAAGGCAAAAGGACGTTTCTAATTCAGGAAATTGGGATAAGCTGAACCTTTCACCAAATTTAGAATAAGACTATAGATTAAGGAAGTATTTAGAAGTGCTAGAGAACTTAGTTTATGGTTCCCACCAGATGGCAGTAGAGATCAGCAGAACCACCAGTGTGTTCCTAACATTTGTATGTGCTACAGCCTCTTACCAGAATGTTTTCAAATGCAGAAAATAAACACATGGTAATGTATGAATTTCCTTAAGTGTATTAAACAACAATATCTAACAATAGGTCTGAAAACTTTTAATTTTTAATTAGTGGCGAGTGTGAATATTTTGAGATAATCTCTAACAATAATGTAATAAGATATCTGTGGTTTCTGTTGGTGACAAAGAAATCTAAAGTACTGCTGATACTATTGTGTTTTGTTGCCTGTATTCATTATTGAAGAAAATGTCCATTTAAGTCAAAGGTAAGTGAAAATAATGACAAATTTTCCTCATCCAAGTTAATAGATCACATGAGTTCTATAACATACCCCCAAAGGGACACGAAGTTAAGAATTTATACTGTGGAGAGCTTCATTACCTGTACCATCATAAATACTAATTACTTGGAATATGGTTGTTCTGTTAATATATTTGGTGATGAAGTTACACATAGGTATGTCACGATATAATATTTCAGAAAAGGTAGGCATAAGATATATCATTGTATTCTAATTTCTCTCCTTTGTTTTCATTATAAAACTGGAAATTAACTTCCTTTATGCAGAAAAGGCATGGTTCCAAATCTAATAAAATTAATTTTAAGACAAATCAAATTTTGAACATATTTAAAATAAAAACAAATTTCCGAAAAAAGGTTTTTAGTATTATGTCACAAAATAAATATGAAATAGCTGTCTCTTGCCTAGTTACCATGCACAAGGTGTTGTATGCAGCACTTTGTGTGCATTTTCATGTTTAATACTAAAAATATTTGTACGAGATTTTTACTGCTATAAACTTAATTTTAAAGAAGAGCCTGGGTTGTTGTGTTGGGGTCAGACAAATGTGGATTCATTCCTGGCTCTACCACTTATCAACTGAATGACTTTGGTCAAGTTACTTAACCTCTTCAAATTAAAATTTTCTTATGTGTAAAATAAGGACAACGTAAAAATAGTATCTACTTCATGGTGAGATTATAGGATAACACATGAAAATAACTTAGCTACTTGCCTGGGACACAGGAAGCTTGTCAAGATCAACAGTGATCCACACATTGCTAAATCTAGGAGTCAACTCTCAATCTCCATCTTATGCAATTCATCAGTAACCTTTGGCACAGGTTCAATTCCTTCCTCCACTCTTCCTCTTGGTTCTCTTACCTCATTCACTGGCTTTCCTCCTTAGTCTTCTTTCCTACATTCTCCTAACCTTCTTCATGTCTCCTAATCTTAACCCAGAAGACTCATTTGTACTTCAGATGTTTAATAGGCAATTCACATTTAACACATCCAAAACTTAATGATTCATTTGTTTTTCCCTAACCCTGCTTCTTCCACGTTTTCCCCTATCTCAGTAAATGTGACCTCCATTCTTCCAGTTTCTCAAGTTGAAGAGTCTCTCTCACAAGACATAGTCAACTCATTTAGGAAATCCTTCCCATTCTACCTTCAACATTATCCAGAATCTGGTACCTTTTCACCGCTTCCATTGCTACTTTCCTAATTAAAGCCCTCAGCATCTCTTCTGGAGTACTGTTATTGCTTTCTAACTGGTCTCCCTGCTTCTATTCCTTGTTTTCTTACAGGTTTTCTTTTCCACAGGCAAGAATGATCTTTTCAAAAACATAGCATCATTCACTCCTCTACTCAAAATTGTCCAGTAGCTTCTCATGTTACTTAAAGCCAAAATCTTTACCATAGCCCAATGTGACCTAGCTTTCCATTGTCTGTTTGATCACATCTCCTGTCACTCTCTCACTGCCTCGCCGCCGCCCCTACATACACCACATCTTGTCTACTGTGTTCCAACCATTTTGGTTCCTCAGACGTGGCTCAGGTCCGTTACACGTGCCGTCTGCTCATCCTGGAAGGCACAGACTGCCGGTATCTATACGGTGCACACCCTCACCTTCCGTTCTTGGCTCATATATCACCTTTCCAGAAGGCTTTCCCTGGCTGCCCTATTTAAAATTACAAATCACCTAAGCACTCCATATAGCCCTCTTTGTTTCATTTTTTTCACACAGCACTTAGCCACCATCTGATATATATTTAATTAGTTTGTCTCACCTAACTGAAACGTTAGGTCTATGTCGCCAGATATTTTTATCTGGTTTGTTCACTGTTGTCTTCCCAGTATCAAAAATAAATTTGTTAAGTGACTAATTTTTTTTTCATTTTAATACTTTATCAGGTGCTACACAGTTTATGCCTGACCCCAAGCTCATGGATCACGGGCAGTCCCACCCAGAAGATATAGATATGTACAGCACTAGAAGCTGAAGTAGACTGCATAGAGAGACTACACAGAAAACTACAAGATGTGTGAAGTTGCAAATAATGGTGAAAAAAATCATGAAATGGGTAACTGATACATAGAGTATTACCTAAAACAAATTTTCCCCTTACATCTCCAAATGTGCAATTTGATAAATTAAATAAGTGGTTAACACAGAAACTGTGAATGCAATGCAAACGATATTAAATGATTGATGAGGAGGCATAGATAGTTTTAGCTTGCATTTGGTGACCTTTAAGGGCATTTATTAAAACACAACAACAACAAATGAAGACATGAACTCCAGTGAGACTAAAATCTGAAAATACATCTATGTATGTATAAAGACATACATATTTATATGTATAAACATATATTTCTGNTTTTTTCATTTCCTAGAGCTGGAATAAAATATCCGTGTTTTGTGGGACATGAACTTGGCTTTGTCTCTTGGTTTTGTTAATGTTAATTCCTACTAAATGTCTAAAAACATCTCTAACTATTTGAGAGGGCCATATGCTACACAGGCTTTCTAATATTGCCTAGCAGTCCTTCCTAAATGGTTCCTAAGTGGTTCACTATTGTGTTCCCTGGAACAGGTATTACAAACCTTTTATTCTCCTCGAGCCTCTTTATAACTGCCAAATTGACTGTGCCTCCTGTTTCACAGATAAAAAAGTAAATTATTAGACATGACCATTCCCAACTTCTTCCTATCTACCGTCAACACTTACCTCTTTTCAGCCATGCATTCCCCTTTCTAAGACTAATCCTTAGAATGTTTATGTTCTTGATCTCATTCCCTCCCATCTAAGACCATAATCCACCCTGTTTAATCTCCAGTGTTTGGTTTCTCTTTTTGCTAATTTGTTTCCTCTACCCCTAAATAGCTTTAGGACTTCTCTATCTTCCATCAACAATAACAAAACAAGACAAAAACCTTTCCTTAACCTGGCCTCTTCCCTTGAAGTGTTTTTTCTCTCTCCTTCCTATGTGCTATACTTCTTTAAAAAGTAATTATTACTTTTTGACAAAAGTAAATATTGTTCCTTTTACCCCTACTTTCAAGTCCTCTCTTAGTAAGTTGTGGCATTCTGGCCTCTATACCTACTTAATTTTTTTTTTTTTTTTTTTTTGTTTTTGTTTTTAAAAGTAGAAAACTTACCTATAATCAGTTTGATTTCCAAATACAGCAACCGCCCTAATAAAAGAACCAGAATTTTTTTTTTTTTTTTTGAGATGGGGTCTTGCCCTGTTGCCCAGGCTGGAGTGCAGTGGCACAAACACAGCTCACTGCAACCTTCATCTCCCAGACTCAAGCAATCCTCCCATCTCAGCCTCCTGAGTAGCTGGAACTATAGGCACCCATCACCATGCCTAATTTTTTTGTATTTTGGTAGAGACAGCGTTTTGCCATGTTGTCCAGGCTGGTCTAGAACTTCTGAGCTCAAGCAATCCTCCCAACTCAGCCTCCCACAGTGGTGGGATTACGGGTGTGAGCCACTGCACCCAGCCCCTACTTCAATCCTTATGTCATTATTGATTCTTTACCACTCTCTCCTTGAAACTCACTTATTCCTTTGCTTTCTGTTTTTCCTGCTTTTGTTATTCTTCATTTTTCTTCTCTTGCTCTGAATCCCTTAAATGCTGAGGCTGCTCAAGTTTCATCCCTAGTCCTATTTTCTCATTCTATATATGCTCTCATTTTTATTTAACATGCTTCCCTGGCTTCAGTCCCCATTTATTTTATTATTATTCATATTTTCAGCCCCCATATCCCTCTAGTGGTATAGACCTTTATTTCTACCTACTGTATTTACCTAACATCCCATAGATATGCCAATGTCAGAATGCCTAAAACAAAATTGTCTCTACCTCCCGCTCCTTCAAATCTATTCTACCTTCTCTAATCCTATCATTACTCTCCCTCAAGTCATAATCATCACTTTTCTGGGTTTCTATAACAGCGTTTGAGCTAATTTGCTTACCATCAATCTTGCTCTCCCTCACTTCAGAATATTTCCTGCTTGCAGGTAACAGTAAAGTAATTAAACAAATATTTAATATTAGCTTAAGAAAAAAAAAAGAGCCTATTTGTATCCTGGGATTTGGCGGTATACGGTTAGGGCATTGGCTCATGGCGCTATCAAGGACCTAGACTTTTTCACTTTCCACTCCGTTCTCTCCAGTATGCTGGTTTGTCACCTCATGGTCATAAGCTGTCTGCTGTACCTTCAGGTAGCAGATACACATTCAGAGTAGGAAATAGCAGATAAAAATATGCACAAGATGCTTCTGACTCCCTTTTATCAGCAAAGTAAGTGCTTTCTTAGAATCTCCTCAGAAGACTCCTGGGTATGTTTGAACCAGTGCTTGTCATATAGCCACACACTTAGCTCCAGGAAGATAGGGAATAGGGAAATCATGTTTCTTTTCCCCTGTGGTGAGGAAGGCACGGATTAAGGGATTGGGAACAGGTGTTGAGTTTAAGCTAACGTAGTGTCTGCTACCCTATACTTCTAACCCATTTGTCTGTTATGACATAGTTGTCTTTCCGACACCTGTAATGGATAGTTGTCTTTCTGAAATCTTTAGTGGCTCATTATTGCCTGCTGAATCAAATCAGAACTCCCTAGTTTAATATACAAGGCCCTTCATATCCAATTCCAGCTTACCTTTAATCTATTTTCCCTCTCCGTACCCATCCTACTGCTAATGGGTATTATATCGTCTTTATGACCTATCATTTGTTTCTTGAACATGCTTTGTTCCTTATTGCCTCTTTTTCTGCCTGTGCTAGTGTGTGCTCTCAAAATGTTCTTCCATCTTATCCCGCCCTACATTCTAACTTCCTACCCATCCTACAAGTCCAATTCCAGTGTCACGTCCCCTTTCTCAATCCTCCGGGGTAGAATTTAGATTCTGTTTTCTAGAGACAGAGTCTCGCTATGTTGCCTAGACTGACCTCAAACTCCTGGCCTCAAGCAATCCTCCCACCTCAGCCAAACAGACATGAGGGACTGTGCTCAGCCTTTTCTTAAATTAAAGTATATTGTATGGCCAGGTGTGGTGGCTCACACCTATAATCCCAGCACTTTCGGACGGTAAGGTGGGTGGATCACCGGAGGCCAGGAATTCAAGACCAGCCTGACCAATGTAGTGAAACCCTGTGTCTACTAAAAACAAAAAATACAAAATTAGCCAGGTGTGGTGGCGCATGCTTGTAATCCCAGATACCTGGGAGGCCGAGGCAGGAGAATCACTTGAACTCATGAGGTGGAGGTTGCAGTGAGCTGAGATAGTGCCATTGCACTCCAGCCTGGGCAACAAGAGCGAAACTCTGTCTCAATCAATCAAGCAATGTACATAGTATGTCTTAGTTTTGATTTAATATGAGTATGTTTGAGATCTGATCCATGGTTTTAAAAAATTGATTTCAAATACTGGAGATAAATTCTTAGGAGCTTACTTATGAAAAACTAGCAAGTGATAGTTGATATTTATAGATACGGTACTTACACAATTTATGCAATTAATATTTTCTCACAGACAAGGTTCCTTGTGTTTATGGCCGAATAACTTTTGTATAGTTTCTATGCCCATGAAATGCCTGGTAGATAGTAGGAATTCACATGTTCTGCCATGCTGGTTGCAGCACAGGACACAAAAGTTAGCATTATTTCAAAGGACTTCTACTCTACTAGGAAAGAGAGAAACATAGAAATATGGTGTTGTATGTGTTATGTTCCCCAAGATAAGTACAAGCAAAGCGCTATGGATGTTCGGAGATAAAATGTAGTTCTGGGATGATGTCAAGAAGGCAGTGGTACTTAAGCTGCTCGAGGTAGGGAAGCAACTTCATTGCTAGTTATTCCTAAGTAAGCTCTTCAGAATTTATTTCTAGTATTTGAAACGAATTCTTTAAGCCTGAGATCAATATAGTCAAACACCCGTATTTTATCAAATCTTAGGCATATCCTATACCTTTAATTTTTAAAAAATGCTGAGCACCGCTGCTTATGTCTGGGACGCTAAAGTGGGAGGATTGCTTGAGGCCAAAAGTTTGAGACCAGCCTGAGCAACATAGCAAGATCCTGCCTCTAAAGAAAAATGCTGCCAGGTGATAATTACATTTATCCCAACATCAGATATGTCAAATTGTGAAAAAGAAGCATCTTACATTTGATGAAATATGGTGGGTAAAAAATAGCGCAACGCTAAGTATAAGTGATATTTAAATTATCTGCTCTTTTGGATTAGCACAGCTACTAGCTATTAGAATATTGATTTAGATAATGGAAAGTTGACTAGCTCTACAAAATCTGTTTCAAAATAAAAGATCTACTCAAAAAAGAATGTGATGATCACTTGCTGTATTGTACAACAGAGTCAAACTGCTGTTAGACTCAGGTGACATTCACATGTTGGAGGCTATGTTGGGATGAGTCATTACAAGGCCTCTTTCATTCTTCCTCTGTGATTTTCAGGAGTTCTTCTCTGTTGAACCTGAAGAGACGCCAGCCCTCCTCAGAGGAAAGGTCTAAAGCCCCTCGACTAGTATAGTAGGCGATAGAAGACTTGTTCCAAATGACGACACGAAAGTGCATGCAGCTACACTGGGTTCGGATGGCAATCTGTTTAAAAACACACAACCAAATATTACTCTCATTTGAATGTATAGTCTTTGTCAAAAGAAACTATCATGAGAGTGAACAGGCAATCTACAGAATGGGAGAAAATTTTTGTAAGCTACCCATCTGACAAAGGGCTAATCCACAGTCTACAAAGAACTTAAAGAAATTTACAGGAAATAAAAACATCAAAAAGCGGGTGAAGGATATGAACAGACACTTCTCAAAAGGAGACATTTATGCAGCCAACAAACATATGAAAAAAAGCCCATCCTCAGTGGTCCCCAGATAAATGCATATCAAAGCCACATTGAGATACCATCTCATGCCAGTTAGAATGGCAATCATTAAAAAGTCAGGAGACAACAGGTACTGGAAAGGATGTGGAGGAATAGGAACACTTTTACACTGTTGGTGGGAGTGTAAATTAGTTCAACCATTTTGGAAGACAGTGTGGCTATTCCTGAAGGATCTAGAACTAGAAATACCATTTGACCCAGCAATCCCATTACTGGGTATATACCCAAAGGATTAGAAATCATTTTATTGTAAACATACATGCACACATAGGTTTATGGCGGCACTGTTCACAATAGCAAAGACTTGGAACAAACCCAAATGCCCATCAATGATAGACTAGATAAAGAAAATGTGGCACATCTACACCATGGAGTACTATGCAGCCATAAAGAAGGATGAGTTCATCTCCTTTGCAGAGGCATGAATGAAGCTAGAAACCATCATTCTCAGCAAACTGACACAAGAACAGAAAACCAAACACCTCATGTTCTCACTCATAAGTGGGAGTTGAGCAGAGAGAACACACAGACACAGGGAGAGAAACATCATACACTGGGGCCTTTTGGGGGTGGGTGTGGGGTTGGGGAGGGATAGCATTAGGAGAAATACCTAATGTAGATTATGGGGTGAAGGATGCAGCCGACCCCCATGGCAGGTGTATACCTGTGTAAACTGCATGCTCTGCACATGTACCCCAGAACGTACTATTTAAAAAAGTGTAATCTTTGTTAACACATATGTTTTATTGAGGGTCTACTCTGTATAAGACCCTATGTGAGTAATACTTCCAAATATATCAGTTAACTGAAATTTTCTTTAGCTATAAAAAAAGTCTCACTGTTATGAGCTTTAAAACCCCTCTTACTAAAAGCTCAAAACTGATTTGCTACCCTTTATTGTATATAAAAGGTTTACCTACCCAAAGAACACATGTTCTCATATGTTCCAAAATACAAGATGATCTTGCTTTTATAGCCTTGTAATATGCATACTGTCGGCCTGTTTTATGAATAAAAATGTCTTCTAATAACTCTCCTGCTTACTTTCACTTGATAGCAAAAAGCGTGTATAGTGTGGTTGTGGATTATATGTAAATCCATTTTAATTGAATATAGCTCATATTCTCTATATGAGTCATCTGATTTGAAAATTCAGTTTAATTTGGGTGGAAATTTGAAGTATAGGGGTTATGTTCAAATGGTGTTATTAATGATTTATGGCCTGTGAATATTTATTGAAGAAAAGGTTAATAGATAGAATATCAATACTAATTTAATACATACCTGACTCAGAATCTTCAGCATTTCAGCTCCAATACCTAGACCTTTTAAATAGACAATGCAAAATGAAAACTGAAAATTTCACTTAACCAGTTATTTGCTTTAGTTAAAAAAAATAATATCTAAAACTCTGTATCTGGTTTTTGTATATTATTAATAGCTTGTGGAAACACAACTCATGAATGCTTTCATATCTCTTTTTCCTAATTGGAATGAGGTACTAAAGGTCATAGAAGAATCTGGATTTATTTTAAAAATGAGTAAAGGCCGGACGCGGTGGCTCAAGCCTGTAATCCCAGCACTTTGGGAGGCCGAGGCGGGTGGATCATGAGGTCAAGTGATCGAGACCATCCTGGTCAACATGGTGAAACCCCGTCTCTACTAAAAATACAAAAAATTAGCTGGGCATGGTGGTGCGTGCCTGTAATCCCAGCTGCTCAGGAGGCTGAGGCAGGAGAATTGCCTGAACCCAGGAGGCGGAGGTTGCGGTGAGCTGAGATCGCGCCATTGCACTCCAGCCTGGGTAACATGAGTGAAACTCCGTCTCAAAAAAAAAAAAAAAAAGATCAGTGAAGAAGTGAGTCTCTGCCACTATTGTCTTATAACAGTATATTTCTTATCTATCTTTACTGAAAACCACCTAAAATTTAAAAGCATTTTTTAAAGATAAAAGTATACCTCTGTGGCCAGGCACGATGGCTAATACCTGTAATCCCAGCACTTTCGGAGGCCAAGCAGGAGGATCACTTGAGCCCAGGAGTTTGAGACCAGCCTGGGCAAAACAGACCCTGTTTCTACAAAAAAATGAATTAGCTGGGTGCTGTGGCACATGCCTGTAGCCCCAGCTACTTGGGTGGCTGAGGTGAGAGGATTGCTTGAGTCCAGGAGGTTGAGGTTGCAATGAGACGTGATCACACCACCGCACTCTAGCCTGGGTGACAGCAAAACCTTGTCTCAAAAACAAAATAAAAAAATATATATATAGCCATGTGATAGCTTGGCTTATTCAGACCTTAAGAGGAGCTAATAAAATGTTTTTCTAATCTGTGACTGAGTCTTCACTCCATGAAAGAATAACTAGAATAGTGATCAAACTCATTAATTATAGCAATAAGTTACATTACCTAAACCACCATATGTAAAGCCCTATCTCATTAAAATATGTCATTTTAATTTGTAAAGTATAAGTAATATCATAAACGTAGTTTTACCTTGGTAAGCTTTTGTGACATAAAAGTCCTCTAGGTAAAGGACCTTACCAATCCGCGAGTCATATGTAAAGTAGTACATGGCAAATCCAACAGTCAATTTGTCTAGGAAGATACAAGAAAGGGTGTAGAAAGATTGTGTTGAATGTTCGCCAGTTCTTTACCCCCAAATTGCATGTCTTTTGGTGTTTTTTTTAACTATCAATAAATGCTCACTGGAAAAAAATTACAGAAACGTATAACGTAGAGGGCATAAGTCCCTTAAAATACAACCTTTAGATTATAAGCCTTCTTTTTACAGTGTGGCATACGATCTTTCAAAGAATTTTAGCTGGGTGCAGTGGTTGATGGCAGTAATCCCTGTGTTTTGGGAGGCCAAGGCAGGAGGGTCGCCTGAGCTCAGGAGTTTGAGATCAGCCTGAGCAATGTAGTGACACCCTGTCTCTACAAAAAAGAATTTTAAATTAGTTGGACATAGTGACACACGTCTGTAGTCCCAGCTATTTGGGAGGCTAAGACACTTGTGCAAAGAAGTTGAAGCTGGAGGCTGCAGTGAGCCATGACCATGCCACTGCACTCCAGCCTGGGTGACAGAGCGAGACTGTCTCTTAAAACAATAATAATGCTTATACAAACATAAGTACATACCATGCATTTTCTTTAAAAAACTAGATTTATATACATATTCTTCTCTTCTGCTTAATAGTAATTATGTGCTACATGACAGTACTATGTTTTTAGCATGGAAAAAATATACTCCAGATTAAACTGAGAAGAAAGATTTACTCTACCTGATGGATTTTGTTGACTGTTTGCTTCTGCAATCAGGCAGTAGAAAAGGGGAGTGTCCCCAAAGCCATCTCTGAGTAAATCTGAAATAACAATTCATATATAGTATGTCAGAAAGTTTATAGCAGAGAGAGGGAGATGGTAGATAGGAAGCAATAGGAATTTCTCTCTCTACCTGGATAGCACTCGTATTGGTGGAAACTGAAGTGAATATTTGGGAACTCTGGAGTTAATCTGAATGTTTGCAACTTGCAGGAGGTAGGCTGGCTGGTCAACTGCAGTTAATTTGGGTCAAATTCAGCCATCAATGAGGTGGCAGCTACCCAGCACTCAGCACCCTCTGCTCCAGTCCCACGACAGGCAGCCATGGGAACAGCAACCTCTATTTCTGTAGCAGTTTGCTGGAGCAAGCGTGACCAATAAACATCTTGTCCTCAAAATACTGACGTTCTGTTTTTTGGCTGTGGATTGTTACTCTTATCACTGAGGTGAGGACTTGTAGGTTAATCGCCATTGTTTCAACTCCCAGGAGCTGAAGTAGCTTCCAGGAGATTTACTGGAGCTGCCCCGTTTTGTAAGACATTTGGGAATTGAAAACGCATATACAAGGGAATTTAGAAAGTCGCTATGTGTGACTAGAGAAAAACTCAGATAGGACCTGAGAACACATTAAGCTTTCAACTCAGGCTGCTCCCTAACACAGAGACACCCTATAATGCTTTAAAAGAAACTCCATCAAACCTTTGGGGACAAAGAGAGTCTGATTTCCAAAGTTACCATAGTATAAGTTTCAAATGTCTCGCTTTTAACAAAAATCACAAGAAATAATGGTCATTCAAAGGAATAGAATACATTAACAAAAAACATACCGGAAGAAAGCCAGATGTTTGACTTAACAAACAGCTTAAAACATCTGTCTTAAAGATGCCCAAAGAGATAACACATGCCCAAATACAGAAAAATATATAAACAAAATGATAACATAAATATAAATCATTAAAAATTCCCTTCCCCTAACATTCTGAAGCTTAAAAGTAGAACAACTGAAATGAAAAAAAAATGCACTGTACTGGAGGGATTCAAAGGCATATTTGTATAAGTCAAAGAAAGAATCCATCAACTTGAAACTAGGCCAGGTGAAATTATTGAGTCTGAAAAACAAAGGGATGAGGAAAAGTGAACAAAACCAAAAGTGTTTGTGGAACATTATCACCATAAAGTGGAGCAGGATATATCTTGTGGGACCTAACAGGAGGCGAAAGACAGACCGACAGAAAGAAAAGGAAGAAAAAAAGAAAAAGGGAGGGAGGGAAGAAAGAAGGAAGGAAGGAAGGAAAGAAAAAGGGAGGGAGGGAAAGAAAAAAAATTTGAAAAAGTAACAGCTGAAAACTTGTGGGACTTACAGGAAAGGGAAGACGGAAAGAAGAAAGAAAAAAGAGAAAAAGCAAGAAAAGAAGGAAGGAAGGGAGGGAAGAAGATTTGAAAAAATAGCTGGAAACTTTCCAACTCTAAGTAGGATACACCCAAAGAAATCCATACCTAGGCACATTATAATCAAAGTCTCAAAAGCTAAAGAGAGAATCATACACAATAATAGGCAATTTGTCATACACGAGGGATACTCAGTTAGATTACCATCTGATTACCCATCAGAAACCTTGGAAGCCAAAAAGCAGTGGACTGGCATTTAAAGTACAGGGAGCTGGGGGAGTGGGGACTGTTATCTAAGAATTTTATATTCACCAAAACTGCCCTTCAAAATGAGGGAGAAATTAAGACATTCCCAGACCGCCCCACTACCTAAACAAACAAACAAACAAACAAAACTGAAGAAGATTATTACCATTAGGCCTACCTAGCAAGAAATGCCAAAAGGGGTGTTTCAGGCTGAAATGAAAGTAAGGTAGACGGTAACTCAAAGTTGTATGAATAAAAATGTCTGGTAAGGAGATACATGAGCATAATAAGTAGTAGTACTGTAATTGTGTTTATACAGTTGACCCTTCAACAATATAGGTTGGAACTGTGCAAGTACACTTATACATGGATTTTTTCAAACACAGATCAAAAACAGAATATTCATTGGAGGAGAAACCCAAATATGCAGAGAACTGACTTTTCATATATGTGAGTTCAGTAAGACTCACTGCAGGACTTGACTATGCATGGATTTGGGTATATGCAGTGGGTCCTGGAACCAATCCCCTGCATATACTGAGAGATGACCCTAACTCCACATTTTGTTTTCTACATTGTTTAAAAGACAAATGCATACGAATAATTATGAACTTTTATTTTTTTGAGACAGAGTCTTGCTTACCCAGGCTGGAGTGCAGTGGAATGATCTCAGCTCACCACAACCTCTGCCACCTGGGTTCAAGCAGTTCTCATGCCTCAGCCTCCCATGTAGCTGGGACTACAGGCATCTGCCACCATGCCCATCTATTTTTTTACAAAGTATTTTTAGTAGAGATGGAGTTTTGCCATGTTGGCCAGGCTAGTCTCAAAATCCTGCCACAAGTGATCCACCCACCTCTGCCTCCCAAAGTGCTGGGATTACAGGTGTGAGTCACCATGCCCAGCCTAATGTATGCTATTTGGCACCCAATGTTTAAAGATGAAATCTCTGACATCAATAACAGAAGCGGGGAACAGACTCACTGCAGGACTTGAGTTTGCATGTATTTGGGCCTTTCATATATATATTCGCATATATATGAAGAATTTTTGTATGATATGGAAGTTAAGTTGATTTAAATTCAAATTAGATTGTTATAACCATCAAATGTAATCCCCATGGTAAACAAAAAGAAAATGTCTATAAAATATACATATAAGGAAATGAGAAGGAATGAAAGTGTTTCACTACAAAAATAAAACCCAAGTAAAGGACTAATGGAGGAAAGTAAGGACAACCAAAACCTTTAAGGCATATGGAAAACAAACAGTTAAACAATACAGGTGAGTCCTTCCTTATGAGTGATTACTTTAAATGTAAACAGATTAAACACTTCTGCTAAAACACAGAGATAGGCAGAATGGATTAAGGGGGAAAAAACCAAATAAACATGATCCAAGTATATACTGTCTATAGGAGACACACTGTAGATCCACAGTCACAAATATGTTGAAAATGAAATGATGGGAAAATATGTTTCACGCAAATAGTAAACAAAAGAGAGCTAGGGTGGCTGTACTAGTATCAAACAAAATAGACTTTAAGTCAAAATCAAAGGACATTACGAAATGATAAAGGGGTTAATTCACCAAGAACATATAGCATTTATAAATACATTTATAAATACACATGCATTGAACATCACAGCTCCAAAATATATGAAGCAAACACCGACAGAACTGGAGAAGAAGTACACAGAGAGATAATAATAGGAGATTCACTACCCCACTTTCAGTAATACTTAGGACAATCAGACAGAAAAGTAGATGACTTGAACACTATAGACCAATTGCACCTAACAGACATATACAGAAAACTCTATCCAACTACAACAGAATACACATTTTTTTGTCAAGTCCACATGGAGCTTTCTTTAGGATAGATACATTAGGTTATATACCAAGTCTTAATAAATTTTAAAATGTCAAAATCACACAAAGTTTTTTTTCTAACCACAGTACAATGATACTAGAAATCAAGAGCAGGAAAAAAACTTGAGAAATTTACAAATATGTGAAAAGTAAACAACACACTGTAAACAACCACTGAGTCAAAGAGGAAAGTATAAGGGAAATAGGAAAACACTTAAATGAATGAAAATGGAAACACAAGAAACAAAAGCTTATGAGATGCAGTGAAAGTAGTGCTCAGAGAGAAAAGTATAGCTGTAAATGCCATGTTTTTTAAAAAAGAAAAATGATCTAAAACAATAATCTAACTTTATGCCTTAAGGAAGTAGAAGAAGAAGAGCAAACTAAGCCCAAAGCTTGCAGAAGGAAGGTAATAATAAAAATTGGGTAGAGATAAATTAGAAGATAGAAAAAATATGGAGAAAATCAGTGAAGGTTGATTATTTGAAAAGATCAAAATTGACAGCTAGACTGACAAAGAGGATGCAAATAATTAAAATCAGAAATGAAAAGAAGGACATTGCTGCCAACATTACAACATTGAAAGGGAATATAAGAAAATATTATGATTTATATAACAAGAAATTGGATAATATAGAAGAAATGGACACATTCCTTCAAACATACCAATTACCTAAACCTCCTTAAGAAGAAACAGAAAATCTCAACAGCACTGCAAGAGTTTGAGTCAGTAATCAGAGATCTCCCAACAAGAAAAGTAAGGAACTGAATGGCCTCATCCGTGTTGAATTCTACCAAGCATTTACAGAAGAATTAATATTAGTCTTTCCCAAACTCTTCCCCAAAAAATGGAGAGACAGGAACACTTTGTGATTAATTCTGTGAGGCCAGCATTACTCTGATTCCAAAGGCAGTCAAAGACATCAGAACAAAGTTACAGGCCAATATTCCTTAATAATGTAGGTTAAAAAATTCTCCACCAAAGAGCAAATTGACCCAACAACATATAAAGGGATTATTCACCATAATAAAGTGTGATTTATCCTAGGAATGTAAGGGTGCAACAACATAAGAATATCAATGTAATATATTAATGAAACAAAGGGGGAAAACCCACATAATCATTTCAATGATTGCCAGAAAGGCATTTGACTAAAGCACAGCACTTTCATAATAAAAGATTTCATAAAAGTAGGAATAGAACGACATTCCTCAACATGATACAGTGTGCTTATGAAACCACGTTATACCAATGGTGAATGCCTGAAACCATACCCCCTAAGATTAGGAACAAGACAAAGATTCTCATTGTATTCAACGTTGTACTGGAAGTTATGGCCAGAGCTATTAGACAAGAAAAAGTAAATAAAAACCATCCATAGACCAGGTGCAGTGGCTCACACCTGTAATTCCAACACTTTGGGAGGCCAAGGTGGGTGGATCACCTGAGGTCAGGAGTTCATGACCAGCCTGGCCAAGATGGCGAAACCCCATCTCTACTAAAAATGCAAAAATTAGTTAAGTGTGGTGGTGTGCACCTGTAATCCCAGCCACTTGGGAGGCTGAGGCAGGAGAATCGCTTGGACCTGGGAAGTGGAGGTTGCAGTGAGCCAACATTGCACCACTGCACTCCAGCCTGGTTGACAGAGTGAGACTCCGTCACAAGAAAAAAAAAATATTAGTAGAAAGGTAAAGGTAAAACTATCTTTATTTGCAGATCACATGATTCTATATAGAGCAGATCACATGATTCTATATAGAGAAAATTGCAAATAATCCAAGAGAAAGCTGCTAGAGCTGATAAACAAATTCAGCAATGTTGCAGGGTACAAGATCAACAAATAAAAGTAAGTTGTGTTTCTATATACAGGCAAAACCAAAACAAACAAACAAAAACAAAAAAATAAATTAGGAGAGCAGTACCATTTACAATAACCCCTAAAAAAATTGAATACCTAGGAATAAATTTAATTAAGGAGGTTAAAAACTTGTATTCTGAAAACTATAAAACATTGCTGAAAGAAACTGGAAAAGATCCAAAGAATTTTTTTTTTTTAAATCCCCTGTATATGCATAGGAAGACAACATTGCTAGGATGCCAATACTAAGAAAAATGATCTACATATTTAATGCAGTCCCTATTAAAATTCCAACAGCCTTTTTCGCAGAAATAGAAAAGCTGATTCTCAAATTCACATGGAATTCCAAGGGGACCCAAATAGCCAAAGCAATCTCGAAAGCAAAGAATAATATTGGAGGACTCACACTTCCTGACTTTGAAACTTATGACAAAGCTGCAGCAATTAATACTGTATGGTGGTGACAAAAGGACAGACATGTAGACCAACAGAATGGAGACCTCAGAAACAAACCCTCACACATCTGATCCACTGATTTTTGACAAGGGTGCTGTGACCATCCATGTGGAAAAGGACTGTCTTTCAACAAACGGTGCTAGAGAAATGGAATATCCACATGCAAAATAATGAAGTTAGACCCTTTACTTCACATCATGTACAAAATTTAACTCAAAACAGATCAAATACCTCAATGTAAGTGCTAAATCTATAAAACTCTTAGAAGAAACATGGGAAATCTTCAAGACATTGGATTTAGCAATGATTTCTTGGATATAACACCAAAAGCACAAGTGACAAAATAATAAGCAATTTGGACTTTATCAAAATTAAAATATTTTGTATGTGTCAGGATAATATCAAGAGAGTAAAAAGGCAACCCATGGAATGGGGGAAAGTATTGGAAATAATATCTGATAAAGGATTAATATCCAGAATACATAAAGGACTCCTACAACTCAACAACAACAAAATGAATCAACTGAATTAAAAAATGAGCAATTATCATAGACACTTCACAAGGAAGATATACAAAGGGTCAATAAGCACATGAAAAGGTGTTCAACATCACTAATCATTAGTGAAATGCACATCAAAACACAATGCGATACCACTTCACACCCAGTAGTTTGGGTATTAAAAAAAAACAAAAATAAGTGTTGGTGAGGATGTGGAGAAATTAGAACCCTTGTGCATTGCTAATGAGAATGTAAAATGATGCAGCTGTTGTGGAAAACAGTAGTGAGGCCCCTCAAAGAAACCCAAAATTATTATATGATCCAGCAATTCCACTTCTAGGTATGTGCCTAAAAGAATGAAAGCAGCAACTCAGACAGACACTTGTACACCAGTATTTCACAGCAGCATTATTCACAATAGCCAAAATTTGGAAACAGCCCAAATGTATATTGATGGATGAATGGATAAACAAAATGTCATATATATACATATATATCTATATCACATTGTATATACACGTACAATGGAATGTTATTCAGTTTTGAAAAGGAAAGAAATTCAGATACAGGCTTCAACTTGGATAAACCTTGAAACATTATGCTAAGTGAAATAAGGCAGACACACAAAGACAAATATGGTATGTTTCCAGTCATATGAGGTACCTAGAATAGGCAAATTTATAGAGATAGAAAGTAGAATGGTAGTTATGAGAACCAGGGGGGAGGGAGGTCGGCAATGAGGAATTATTGTTGAATGGTTACAGAGCTTCAGTTGAGGTGATGTAAAGATCTGGAGATAGATACTGGTGCTGGATGTATTGAATGTCACTGAATTCTACAGTTACAAATGGTTAAAATGATGCGTGTATTTAATCATATTTTTAGAAAGTTTACAACAATAGGTAAGAGTAAACAAAAATCATATATCTCACCTGCCTCTATACAAGTACACATGGACATTTTAAGATAAAAACAGGACTGAGGACATTATGAAATTACTGCAATTTAAATATATACTGAAATTCTAAGGCAGAATGCTGGAGTATAGAAAGCATTTTGTTGTTTGTTATGATTGTTACATATTACCCTGAGCAGCATTTTTCTAACTACAATGAAATAGTGTAGGTGCATTATCTCAACACAGTACAGATTGAGTATTCCTTATCCAAAATTCTTGGGACCAGAAGTGTTTTGAATGTCTGATTTTTTTTTTTAAATATATGTCATCCTATACTTACCAGTTGAGCATCCCTAATCTGAAATCTGAAATGCTCCAATGAACATTTCGAGTGTCACTCCAGTGCTCAAAACTTTTCTGACTTTGGAGCACTTCAGATTTCAGATTCTCAGATTAGAGATGCTCAAATTTTTATGCTGTTCCAGTTAAAGTACTGCTTTCATAGAGTGTACACTACTTTCAGCTTTGTATTTCTTACCATTTATTTTAAGCCAACAAAATTACTATTTAGTTAACATTCTGGTCATGTTAATGATCAAGAATAAGGACATAAGTATCATCACATAAGCTAACTGATCTATGACCTATGCAGCTCAGAGTTCTATTTCTGACCAAGGCACTAAGACTGGTTTGTTAAGGAATGGTGCAAAAGACTCCACAAAGCATCCCATGACTTCTTTCTGAATCTGTCTCCCACTATTACAGTGAAAGCATTTATATCCTTGGTAGAATGTTCTCAGTTTATTACATGCATTCTGAAGTATTCAGCTTCAAGGAGTTAACCTTCGTCAATTCATCTAGATTTTGATAACTGTCTTCACCTAGTCTTTGCCATTTGTAATTTTATATATGTTAATAATCTTTTCTCTTCGTCTTCATATTACTGCCTAAAATGTTCTAATTCATCACAAAGCACTAGCCTATCCCATTAATCTTGATGACTATCAAAATGTAGTAAATACTTTGAAAATATTTTAAATCATTTTGCTTTTGTCAATTTCATTGTATCAAGCCACTACCAACATACTGGGTGTTAAATTATCCTTTTTTGACCAATAACACTCCTCGTTTTACATTCTGAAACAGCTGAACTCTATTGCAGCGGTAAAGGTAGAAGATCTGTTAAATATCAATTTCGTACTATAAATGGGGAAAATAGAAAATAGTGGAGCACTGACAAAGCTATCAAATTTATGTCCTGTACATGTTAGTAATGGTGTCATCTTTATGTACCAGGAACAATTGCTTTTACGTATCTAGGTAGTACTGTGTGTTTCTTTTTCTTGCTCTGAAAACACAACAAAACATCTTACCAGCTGCTGTTAACTTCATCGTACCTAGCATGTTTTCACAGGCAGCCAATTCCTGTTAAAGTAGATAAAACCTTCAGTTTATGATTTAGCAATAAATTATTAAAACTATAATCATCATAATTGTATTAAACATTTATTGACATGTGATGTCCTGGGCAGTGTTAAAAGTTAGTCAGACTTAATCCCAGACATCTAGAAACAAAATCTAAAACAGTAATGCAACAAAAGGATGTATATATATTACTAGAGAGAGAGAGATTAACTATGTTGATACCTCACACATATGAATGTCAATTATCAAGGTTAGTAGCATTGAATGCAGCCAGAAACTGGGAAGTAAAGCAGAAAAGGTTACTGAGCATTTAAGGCAGATGTCATAAAGTTAATGTATTATGAAGCTCATAGACTTTTCAGAAAAGTCTCTCAGATGTTGGTCTGTGAGATGTTTTTGCCAGTTTAAGTTTAGGCTTTTTTATCATGGCTTTTTACTATATCATTTTTTTTTTTACATATTCAGATTATTTTCTTCATGGTTTATATCTCATGCTTGGAAAGGTTACAAAATTCACTCTTGTTTTCTTTTCAAGTTTATAACATTAATAATTGATTTGTTCAAATTTTTTGGTGTGAGAAGTTAGGTAGAATTTCACCTTTATCTTTTCCTCCCAATTGCCCAACAGCACCTACTCAATAACCCATCTTGGCTGACTTGAAATGTCCCTTTTATCATACTACATCCATATATACAGTCATCCCTTGGTATCTAAAGGAGATTAGTTTCAGGACCTGCTCCCTCAACGCCAGGATACCAAAATCTGAGGGTGTTTAAGTCCCTGATATAGCATACTATTTGCATATACCCCATGTACATTCTCTCATATACTTTAATTCATCTCTGTATTACTTATAACATCTAATACGGTGTAAATATTATGTAAATAGTTATACTGTATTGTGTAGGAAATAATGACAAGAAAAAGTCTGTCCATGTTCAGTACAGTTACAATTTTCAATCCATGGCTGTTTGAATCTACAGATGCACAAACCATGGATACAGAAGGCTGACTATGTACTTAAGAGTCTGAACTCTCCATTCTGTCCCATTGATCTATCTTCGCACTAGTTACCATAGTGTTTTAATTACTTACAGTTTTATAATATCTGATATAGATTATCTCCTCTTATTACTCTTCTTTTTTGAATTTCTAAAATTTTTTCTATGTGAAAATTTGGAGATTTTGACTGGAATTGCATTAAACTTTTAATGGAAATAAGCTTTTAAAATATAGGAGGACAGCAAGGGCCAGATTACATAGAGCATTAGTAAGAAGATTCAATTTTATCCTCAAGACAAGCAGAAGCTCAATGTAGCTTTAAGCATTTTCGGCTGCTGTGCAGAGACTGGATTGGGCAGGGAGGACAATATTTATGTCGATACCTCCCCTAAGATGCTGCAAGCAACCTGAGGGCAGAGACTGTAATCCAAGAATCCTTATATCTTTTATACTACTTGGTATATAATCTTCCTCTAATATGCATTCAATGTTTGTAGAATGAACAGAAATCAAATATTCATACTACCCAGCACCATCTGTGGATTACCATGGTCCAAAGCCACACTTTAAGGACTACCACAATAAAAAGCTTTAGAAATTCTCATAAACAAGAAGTTATGGCTGCCTGGCAATGAAATGACTAGGTTCCCAAATAATGCTGTGATGTGGTGATTAAGAATAGTATAAAAGGAGTGCATATAGAGAATACTTTGAACCGGACAGTCAATAAAACCTGCAACACATTCAGCTAAGCAATTACTGTGATTGCTAACTCTAATAAATTCCTGTGCAAAGAGAGACTGTTTTGCAAACTTAGCAATGAACAGGAGTTAGAATGAATGGACATAAATTATTAAGAAGAATGTAAAAGTCAAAGCCAATTAATCATTACATACATGTATGTGAGACAGAGTAAGTAATTTAGCTTTTCTATTATTTTGGCACAATGAATCCTTATTAAAATTACTCCCAATAAACTTCTGATGTATTCTCAGATACATGTGACAAATTAAAAGGTAAATGTGGCCAGAAACCCTACAGATAGTTTCACTGAAATGGGGTAGTCTAGTGACATATTATTGCCTTGGTGACGATGATGGGCCTTGCTTGGAAAGCTAGGACAAGTACATTTGTCCAGGTAAATAGATTAATTTTTCATTCAACAACAAATTTATTAATTGCCAACCAGCTGTCAGATGCTAGAACTACAAAAATCTCTTTAAAAGATGTTTTCTACCACCTGGAAGAATGTGAATCTGTAATAATATGTCGGGCGTAGTATTTTGATGGACGATCTAATAATTCAGATTAATGTCAGTTAGAGAGACGATGTGAGAATTTGTGGAAATGGAATAGAATGTAAGCTATAAAAGGATAGATAACCCAATTCTTACAGGTCTGTAACCAGGCCTAGAATCGCTTCGATAGGTAGATTTCACTAGAAAACTATGGGCATTTTATTTCGGCCATTAAAACACACTCTCCAAAGGGAACAGAAACTTGGCCCGACTTAGATAAGATTTAAATATATTAGTGAGGAGATTAAAATGTTTTCATTATAAAACTCTTATGAGATTTGGATATCTATAATCTGGGCCTTTTTCCAACCACATATTTACTCCATAAACAGTCTGGTCTACTGCTTTACATGCTTTATATGGAATTGTGTAGGTTGTCCATCACATAAATGATTGCTTTTAGCACCACAGAACTTCAGCACGGTAACTGTGACTACTAGATAGCTTGTCCCTTTAATTAACTGGAATGGTTTCCAAGGAAGCCATTAAAATAAACATTTAAATGAGAAATATGTAACCAAATCCTTTGGCTCCTGGGGGTTTTTGGTGGATGGGCTTCAGTGATCAATGAACTATCTGAAAAAGTATACAAAATTTGTTGCATGCGAATATTGTTTTTGGGGCAGTTGATCATCAGTTTCTACAAGTAGGTTTGGTCTTAGAAGCAATGAGACTCCCTACCCCCAAATCTTAGCGACTAATATCTGAAATTCTACCATTGGAGGTTCATTTGTTGAAGGTGAGCATTTCTCTTCTTTAAGATGCTCTTTTAAAGTTAAAATGTCCCCAAGAAAGAGAACACATTCAGTCCCTAAAATTTCTAGGAATTGGTTCCCCCATAACTTTTTGAGCCCCTTACTGTATGCCAAGCAATTTATGTGCAATCATTTTATGTTATTGGTTCATAACAACAATGTTTTGAAATACATGTTGCTATAATCTTGGTTTTAGATCCAGAAAATGAAGAGTAAAGAGGTTAGGTAACTACCAGAGGTTATGTACACAGGTCATAACTAGCAGAGGCAGAATTCGAACCCCAGCTATGCCTCCCTTACTGTTTTAGCCCTACACGAATGCCGTGAGGCTCCACGCAATAAGAACAGGCTTACTTCAATCAGACGTAAAATTTCTGAGCAGTCTTCGGCCTTTGCAGTTCTTATTTGTAAATAATCCATGCTTGTTTGCCTCATGGCCAGTTGGCTCACACTTGCCTGGCTCCTGCCTGGTTGACTCAGGCCTGGTTGGCTTACAACTAAGTGGTTCCCTTCTGGTTGGCTCAGGCCTGGGTGACTCGGGCCCGGTTCATATGTTCCTGGTTGACCTCTGCTTGGATGGCTCAAGCCCGATCGGCTCTTACTTGATTGGCTAGTGCCTGGTTGCTTCATGCCTAGTTGCCACATGCCTGGTTTACTGGTGTTTGGTAGGCTTGGGACTGGTTGGCTGGTGCCTACTTGTCTCATGCTTCGCTGGCTCCTACCTGACTGGCTCGCGTCTAGCTGCCCCATCACTGGGGGGCCTGGTGGAGATGGACCTGGTTGGCTTATGCCTGCTTCACTCAGTACCAGTTGGCTCAGGTCTTGTTGCCACATGCCTGGTTGGTTCCCACCTGATTGCTGTGTGCCTGGTTGTTGCACGCCAGGTTGGTTAATGTCTTGTAGGTTTGTACTTGATTGTCTCATGCCAGCTTGGCTCATGCTTGTTTGTTTCATGTCCACTTGTTTCGTGTCATATATGCTTGCACTCCATTGGCTTATGTCCAATTGGCTCTTACTATGTAAGCTTGAGCTTGACCGGCTTATGTCTATTTGGTTAGAATCTGATAAACTCAATTGGCTCGTGCCTGGCTCGCTCACGCCTGTTTGGTTCCTACTTGATTCGTTAGGGTCTGGTTGCCTGGGGACTTGCTCGCTCACGCCTGGTTGACTGATGTGTGGTTGGCTAGGGACTGGTTGGCTCAAGTCTGTTTGCCTTGTGTCTGGTTGGCTCTTGCCTATCTGGCTTGTGCCTGATTGGTTGGTGCCTACTTGACTCATGCTTGGTTGGCTCCCACCTGACGGGCTGTCCAGTTGCCACATCACTTTGTGGCGCACACCTGATTTGGTCTGGTTTTTTTGCTTCAAGCTTGATTTTCTGGGGCCTGATTGGCTTGGGCCTGGTTGCGATGGGCGTGGTTGGCTTAGGCGTGCTTCATTCAGGACTAGTTGCCTTAGGCCTTGTTGCAGCATGCCTGGTTGTCTCCTAGCTAATTGCCGTCTGCCCAATTGTTTCATGCCACGTTGCTTTATGTCTGGTAGGCTTGTACCTGATTGCCTCACGCCAGCTTGCCCCATGCTTGGTTGTTTACGTCCACTTGGCTTGCACTCTATTGGTTCATATCCAACTGGTTCATACCAAGTAAGCTTGTGCTTGGCTGGTTTATGTCTTTTTGGTTGGAATCTGATAAACTCGATTGGTTTGTGCCTGATTAGTTCATGCCCAGTTGATCCCTGCTTGGTGGACTAAGGATGGGTTGGCAGATGATGGGTGGGCAGACAACTGATTGGCTGATGACTGTCTTGATGGAACAGGATCCCTTAACTGTAGTGCTGTGGTGGGAGGCTGTTGGTGTTCCCAATTCTTCTCAACTTGATTTTCACTTTGCGGTACCCCTCTGTCAAGGCGGGAATTGGAAAAAGAGAGGACCACCTCAGGAAGATTATTGATGCCTCCGATTTGCTGGAGTTGATTTCACCAGCGATCACAGCTGCAAACTTGGCGGAGATTCAGGTTGTCATCTGGCCTTTCCCTGCCAAAAGGGCGGAAGTAAAGGGAAGAAGAAAATGATCCTGGAGGAGTGTAACCACCAGTCCACTCTTGCATGGTCCTTGCGTCATAGTGCGGAAGTCACAATGCCGGTATCAACGTGCCTACGTGCTCCCCCGTGTGGTGAGGGAGGGGCGAAGCAGGGCTCGCTGGACCACTTTATTTCAGCCTCTCTTAAGAGCTTAAAATGGTGAAGTCAGAGGCTAGAAGGAGTCTCAGAGCATATGCTTGGCACTCTCGAGTGCCTGCTGTTTTACCCAATTCAAAGAAACTTGCCCTAACTCCCCTCCCTTTCCCTACACCCCATACCTCAAATAATTCAATTCCTATTTCCGTCCTGATTTTTCGCTTACCCTGGAAACTAATTGTCCTGATGAGGTACTTAAGTCTCGAATCCAGACAATACTTCTGTAAAAATAATCATAGCTGGGCTGGGCGCGGTGGCTCAGGTCTATAATCCCAGCACTTTGGGAGGCCGAGGCGGGTGGATCGCCTGAGCTCAGGAGTTCAAGACCAGCCTGGCCAACATAGTGAAACCCCGTCTCCACTAAGAATACAAAAATTTAACTGGGCGTGGTGGCGGACACCTGTAATCCCAGCTACTTAGGAGGCTGAGGCAGGAGAATCGCTTGAACCCAGGAGGTGGAAGTTGCAGTGAGCTGAGATTGCACCATTGCACTCTAGCCTTGGCAACAAAAGCAAAACAACTTCTCAAAAAACATTTACATATATATTATGTATATAATATATATGTCAATATTTTATATATATATTCTAATATATGTTAAATATATATTATATTATAATATATATTACATTACAATATATGTTAAATATATAATATAATATATATTAAACATATAGCTACAGCTACCATTTACTGAGTTATTTTATGGCCTAGGCTCAGTGGAATGTATGTTACATTTTCTTGTTCAATCCATATCAACCCTATTATCCCCAATTGTGAGCAAATTGACTCAAAAGATTTGGTTATCTCCCCAAGGCTTCATAAAAGTTGGTTGAGAGCCTGCATTCAGACCCAGATCTATGTGACTCACTTTCCAGGCTTTTTATTATTATCATTTTAACAGCGGGCTTACTTCCTCAACAATGTATATTATATAATTGGTTCTAATATTGTTTTAGATGGAATGTCTTTTATCTTTTAAATATAGCAGAGAACTTTAGTTGAGGCTGTTCTAAGTCTCACACTGTGTTAACGGCTTTACATATGCATTATCTCACTTAATCATCAGAATAACCCTGTGATGTATGTATCGTTAGTCCCCATTTTACCAATAAACTGGAAGTTAGATTAACTAAGTTTCCCAAGTATAGTAAACGGGGAATGGGGGTGGGGTCCAAGGCTCATCCCATAGACAGAAGCATTCAATGTGAAGAGCCCAGTCACTGTTAGGCCTATGCTGGCTATAAATTGTACCTAGAGAGCCTATCTTCTTACATGACAAGCAGACCAAGTCACATCACAGAACTATGTCAAGCCTAATACAAATTAGATGTAGGTATGTTGCTGCTTTTCATCTACCTTATAATAGAAATGAGAGCTAGTATTTAGTGAATTATTTCTGTGGTGTCTAGCATGGTTCTAAGTTCACTCATATTAACCCAATCCTCATAACAATCCACTGAGGTAGGATATAGTCTTATACTCATTTTTCAAGTAAAGAAACAGATTAAGAGAGGTTAAGTAACTTGACACAGGTCACACAGATAAAAGTCCAGACAAAACAAGGAAAACCCAGTTATTTTGTTTTCTTCTGAAATGTAGAAGAGATGAAATAATTTTTCTGTTTGTTTTACAAAATCAAACAATTTGCATAATTTATTGTGAGAATGGATGCAGTTTGTTTTTTGCTTTCTTAGAGGAAGAGGCAAGTGATAGGTTTCTGGTTGATGCCTTTAAGTAAATTTAAAAAAATGCAGTTTCATAATCTAGAATTGGTTAACAAATTTCTTTTGCATTTTGATTTTGGCTCATGAATCTTTACATGAGTTTAAGACTATTTAGATATTTGTTTTTTGTTATTTTTAAATAATATTGGGTTTGAACACAATGCAAATGTGTTTTTAAGGGAACATACACAAACATATTTTTGCTTAAAGTTACTTATTAGCACAATTTGTCCCATCTTGGAAACTCAGAATAAGACTGCCTCCATCAACCATTTATAAATCCACCTGAACTGGTTCACCATCAGCGAAAAAGTACTTTTTAGACTATTTTTAAAAAAGCTTCAGTAGTCATTCTTTGCCACAGGCGGCAGTGTTATCCAGCTTAGGAACCAAAAATGTAAGTAATATTGTAAGCTTGTTCATTTTTCATAAAAGTATACATGCTATTTGAATTTGAAGTTTTATTTTATTCCAGATTTTATCAGAAAATTTCTAAAAGCTAATCTTAGTTTTAATATACTACTTTATTAAGTATCTAGTTTAGGTAGTGAGTTTTGTAAGCCAAGACTTCCCAAATTCTGTTTCTAAAACTTGAAAATGTACATGCATTGTCTGCTCTACCAAAATGTTTTGAATTAATATAACATATGAAGCAACCCCTCAGAGATCTAAAACTATGGATGTATTTACACATTTAAAGTCTAATGACTATAATAGAGACAATCCCCATTTCCTGTAGGTGCTAAATAAAATCTAGTATTCTGAATTCTGACACTTTTAGTAGCAGAACATAACTGAATCATGAGACAACAAAGTATGTTACCTGCAGCAAATTTGTATGGGTGTGTAGCAACCTCAATTCTTGCTTCCCCAGAAGAAAGAATTAGACTGAGGGGCATAAGGTAGAAGAAACCAAGGCAAGTTTTACGGCAGGAGTGAAAGTTTATTAAAAGCTTGAGAGGCCAGGTGTGGCGTCTGAGGCCTGTAATCCCAGTACTTTGGGAAGCCAAAGTGGGTGGATCACTTGAGGTCAGGAGTTTGAGACCAGCCTGGCCAACATGGTGAAACTCTGTCTGTATTAAAAATACAAAACATTAGCCAGGTGTTGTGGTGGGTGCCTGTAATCCTAGCTACTTGTGAGGCTGAGGCAAGAGAATTGCTTAAACCTGGGAGGCAGAGGTTGCAGTGAGCCCTCACGATCACGCCACTGCACTCTAGCCTGGGTAACAGAGTGAGACTGTCTCAAAAAAGAAAAAAAAAGCTTTAGAACAGGACGTAACGTACACTTGGAAGAGGGCCAAGCAGGCGACTTGAGAGCTGACGCGCAGGGTTTGATCTTTCTGTAACTGCTTCCTTTTTCCTTCTGACAGAGTAGGGGTTGGGGGTGGTGATTCTGTGGGTCTTGGACTCTTGCTAGCGGTCAGGGCAGGAATGCTCAATGGGTTAGTGAAAATGGTATCTAGCCAGGTCCAAGGAAGACAGGGGCAGAATTATGCCTCTGCTGTGTCCCACTGATGAGTAGTCTAGGGTTTCTCTGTAGAAACCCTAGACTCTTGAATATTGAGAGGACGGTATCCCTCACTGCGGATCATTTGGAGCTTGATGGCCTGAAGACAAGAGGAGACAAATTAGGTTATTATGTAGAAGACTGGCAAAACAAAATAATAGGCTGAAGATAGGTCAAAAAAATCCTGAGGCTACCGACATGCTGTAGTCATAAGTTAGATGCATGAGGTTGCTAGCTGATTTCAATATGTGCCCAGAATTAGACTAGTGGTCCACATTTTTGCATTATCCATCCCCTTGGTTTCTTTTGAGCCGCAGGCAGAGGTCACTAGTTGGTTCACAGGAATAAGCAGGATTAGTCTAAATTGCAGCGAAAAACTCAAAAACAACTGATGAGTCTAGAATCTAATAACAGTAGTGCAATATTTATTTAAACTTATTTTTTCTATCTCCAGTCCTCATTTGTATTAAAAAGAAATCATGATAAGACTGATTTGTTTGGAAAATAAGCTTTAGTCTTATTATACTTGGCTTGATTATTTGCATAAAGCACAGCAAGAATAATTGTTTGCCATATAAGCTCCTTTTAAAATTGGCTTTGATGGAACTTTGTTCCATAAGCAATCTCAGATAAGACTTTTCAAACCTTAATTAAGCCCAGCCATAGGTGGGTGCCATCAAATACCTGTATGAGTTGGGTAAATTACTCTCCTCTTGAGGTCCCATGATAACTTGGGGTCCCTGGGCCTGTCAGAAAGTGGCTTTCTTTACTGGCCACAGGTTAGTAACAATGAACAAGGACTGGGTATACAAGATATGGGGCCAGTTTTCCCAAGGGATTTTTATTGACTGTATAAGTAAAATTTGATTCCTTAAAAGAAAGCCTGCCATTTCAGTAGAAGATTTGGTGAAATAATTAGTGGCTCCAATTGTGTCCTATTACAAAAGAAAGCAGATTCTTATTGGACTTTTAAAAATAACTATATTGTTATAAGTTAAGAGTATTCACAAATGGTTTCCAAGTTCTTGAGAAATCAGAGAGATATTAATATGCTCCAAATTTTATTTACAGGAAAATAATGTACGCAATTGTTAAAAGCTCAAAATAGCTCAAAAGAAATGTTTTCTTGACTCTTAAGGGATCAATAACATTTTAAGCCAAAAGTCATTAAAGGATTATTTCAGTCTTCTATTAATTCAGTGCATGCAGTCCTGTTCTGGTTGATATTCGTGAACATTTTAGATCTCCAT